AATAGATTGAAATCATTAAAAATTACTAGTCAATACTTAAAAAGTCGCTTAAACGGCCATAAATATGACAAAAAAAATAACACTGCTCTTTCGAGCCATTCCAGGGAGAATCAGCACTCGTTCGACTTTCAAAGTGTGAAAATTTTACGCTCAGAAAGTCACACAAAAAGACGGGAATTTTATGAAATGATTGAGATCCAAAAAAATCCAAACTCCATAAATTCTAAGACTGACACAAAAAATCTCAGCATAATTTATCACAACTTAATGAAATAAAGAGACAAATTAACCAGTGAATCTCACACAAACCAAAAAAAAAAAGATAAAAAAAAACGCTTTAGAAAAAAAAAACGTTGTCCTACCGTGAAGAAACCTACATCCGTGCTTCGCATTATTGTTTTGGTTCGTCTTATCAATGGCTTGTCGATTTACATATTCGATATGTCTGTTGTGAATGTTGTAAAACTGTAAATTATCAAACAATTATATAATGAACCGTTGATTTTTGGCTTAAGGTATGTATGTAATCGTAATATAAAAAATTATGTATGTTTATTTTTATACTATTTTTAATCACTTTGTATGTTCTATTGACTTGCACTAGTAATTTTTAATCATTTCAATCTATTTTTCTGACTCCTATACAAATTTTTATCTATGTTTTAATTATGACCAGGAAAATAATGCTATAAATAATTTTATTTAAAAATACATTTTTGTAGGTTAAAATTAAATGTCTGAAGAAGGTCTTGAAGGCCGAAACGTCACAAAAAATAAAATGTTTCACAAGTAACGGAAACTTATTTTAATTTCACTAAAAAAGGACCAAAAAAAAAAACAAAGAACCATTTCTTAAGAATATATAAAATCAAAAGGATCCAAGAACTCACAAACTAGAAAAATATACCAAGCATGGGTGAAAATATGCTCCATTTTCCAACCGTCAGAGAAGAGTACGGAGAGACGGTGGCAACCAACCTAAAAGAGTACTCAAAACTTAATCTACAATTGTGTAAACAGAAAAACCGTAGAATCTTTCTTTTGCGTTGTAAGGATGACAATCTAACACCCACATTTTTAAGAATTAAAGTTGCACATATCAATTTTTCATGTAAATACCTCGAGCGAAAATTCAACGAAATAATTTTAAAAACATTTGTTCGAAAAACCCTAAACCTACTAATTACTGAGACGACCCATACGATAAACCATTTAACATCGGAAATCGAAAAAATTGAAATATTTTTGAAAACTCTTTTAGAACCGAATATTTTTAACAACTATAAAATAAGGGCCAAGTCCTGTAACATAATTACAAACTTTAAAAATAACTTTATTAAACAAAAAAGTAACCAAACAAACAAAAAAATCTTTACTAGCAAATTGAAAAAGACAAAAGCTTTCCTAAAAAGAAACAAAACTTTAAAAATATTAAGAAAAGATAAATCAAACAAAACCGTAATTATGCACGAAAATGACTACACAAAATTCAAAATCAATAATACATCAAAAACTCTTTCGATTTTAAAGAAAAAATAAAAAATGTCAGGATACCTTAAAACTATGTTTTGATCTCGTTAGATGTCATTTCTCTATACACAAATATTCCCATCCCTTTAGCTAAAGATATAATAAAGAAAAAATGGCCAAAAATTAAACATTTCACAGACATTCCGTTAAATCACTTTCTTGAAGCTGTAGAATTAACATTAACATCAACCTATTTCTTATTCAATGACAAATATTACAGGCAGGTCGATGGTTGTGCAATGGGAGCATCGATTTCCAGTGTTATTGTACAGTTAGTAATGGAAGATTTGGAAGAATCCGTACTAAAAAATATAAATCTTCATATCCCCCTATTTTATCGTTATGTCGATGACTGCGTAAGTGCTGTCCCAAAAACTGAAATCGATGATATTCTAGAGAAATTTAATTCATACAACGACAAACTTCAATTTTTAATAGAGATCGAAAAAAATAACGTCATTAACTTTCTAGACCTGACTCTATACCACAGCAAAGACCAGATCAAAACCAAATGGTACACCAAAGATACTTGGTCATCTAGGTATGTAAGTTTCAACTCCCAACATCACCCAAAAAAAATCCGTAATAATAGGTTTAGCCGACCGAGCTATTAAACTGTCCGATGCTGAGTACAGACAGCAAGCTATTAAAAAAGTAAAACAAGCCCTAAAATTAAACTGTTATCCGGATGTATTAATAAATAAAATTTTCAATAAACGGATACACAAATTTTACAATCAAAATGCTGGTAACAAATCCGAAAAGAAAAATACTCAAAAACAATATCTCCCATTACCGTACGTTCCAGGGCTATCGGAAAATTTGTGCAATGTGTTCAAAAAACACGACATTACAGTGGCACACAAAGGTTATAACCTATTAGAACAAAACTTTAGTAAATTAAAATCAAAAATCCCTGACGAGAAAAAAAAACCACGTTGTGTATCAAATACCGTGCCAAAATTGTAACGATGTCTACATCGGACAAACTAGTCAATACTTAAAAAGTCGCTTAAACGGCCATAAATATGACAAAAAAAATAACACTGCTCTTTCGAGCCATTCCAGGGAGAATCAGCACTCGTTCGACTTTCAAAGTGTGAAAATTTTACGCTCAGAAAGCCACACAAAAAGACGGGAATTTTATGAAATGATTGAGATCCAAAAAAATCCAAACTCCATAAATTCTAAGACTGACACAAAAAATCTCAGCATAATTTATCACAACTTAATGAAATAAAGAGACAAATTAACCCGTGAATCTCACACAAACCAAAAAAATAAAAAAAAACGCTTTAGAAAAGAAAAACTCTATTGTCCTACCGTGAAGAAACGTAAATCCGTGCTTCGCATTATTGTTTTGGTTCGTCTTATCAATGTGGATTGTCGATTTACATATTCGATATGTCTGTTGTGAATGTTGTAAAACTGTAAATTACCAAACAACTATATAGTGAACCGTTGATTTTTGGCTTAAGGTATGTAATCGTAATATCAAAAATTATGTATGTTTTATTGTTGTGCATCTATTTTTATACTATTTTTAATCACTTTGTATGTTCTATTGACTTGCACTAGTAATTTTTAATCATTTCAATCTATTTTGCTGACTCCTATACAAATTTTTATCTATGTTTTAATTATGACCAGGAAAACAATGCTATAAATAATTTTATTTAAAAATACATTTTTGTAGATTAAAATTAAATGTCTGAAGGTCTTGAAGGCCGAAACGTCACAAAAAATAAAATGTTTCACAAGTAACGGAAACTTATTTTAATTTCACTAAAAAAAAAAATATATATATATATATATATATATATATATATATATATATATATATATATATATATATATATATATATATATATATATATATGATGACACTATACTCCGGGATATCATCCGTTCGCTCGTTGAACTCCGACTGGAATCCTGCAGACGTTTCGCCAAAATCTCACTTGGCATCTTCAATGCTCGCGCTCCGAAAACACTTCGAACACTCGGAGCGCGAGCATTGAAGATGCCAAGTGAGATTTTGGCGAAACGTCTGCAGGATTCCAGTCGGATGCAGGATTTGCAGGATTCCAGTCGGATGCAGGATTCCAGTCGGAGTTCAACGAGCGAACGGATCATATCCCGGAGTATAGTGTCATCACATTTTTCCATCCGTGAATCAATACGTGTGAATATATATATATATATATATATATATATACATACATATATATATATATATATATATATATATATATATATTCGTCGCTTTTGTGGTGGAGCTTGAGCGTTTTGGTTTTCTAAATAAAACAATTTGCCACAATTTTATTTTAACAATCATGATATTTTTGGATTCGTTAATCACCACTCTACAAATTGCACTTTTTTCAAATTATGTATTACTTAAACCAGTACAGTAGATAGTGTCATTACATTTATAATTATCACATTCTTTATTTAATAAATAAATCCAAATCGGCTAATCGCACAGAACTTATTTGTACCTTTGGCGTACTTACATAGTTTTATGTAAGTACGCTATTTGCGTAGAGATAGTCGGTTTATACATAGATTTCCTTGATTTGGTAAAAGCATTTGACTTAAGAAAAATGTTTAAATAAAATGTGTATACATAGTAAATGTACGGTTCCAATTTTAGATAAGCGTCAGACAAGTTAAATGTTATAATAAACTCGCACTAATCATTCCAGGCTACATTCGCGTGACTACGGTTATATTCGTTGGTTGTTTATATATACCGCGACATTAAAATCAATTCAGCAAAGGCTATTTAACTTTATTGAATATAGTTTGATATGTGTAACCACCAAACCTAAATATAGTTGTTACGTTAATATGTTACTATATCCTTGATTTATGCAGCTTAAATAAGTTTAATGAAATAAATACGCTTTGATTACCTAAATATAATAAATAAAAATCTTAGTAATAATTCTCAAAAAGTATATACATATATAAGCCATATAGCAAACAATCCAAGTTTAATAATAATAATAATTGTAATGGAGGTAACTAAAATTATAATTATAATTTAGTTATATGCAACATATAGGTATTTTATTTTTTTGTTTAGATTTAGTTTTTACTCTTAGTTTGAGTTTCTACTCAACGTCAAAGCTATGCGATGAAAACTTATGAAAACTGAAATTAAGATGATCGTAACTGTTTATGCCACATATAAAATAGCGCTAAATTATTCAATATATATTTAGAAACGAAGCAAACAAACAACACGTCAAAATTTAGACCATATGCAGAGCTCCAAATATTAAGGTCTCTTGTCGAGCAATCAATTTAGAACTACATTGTTCTATTGCATCGTTCTATATTATATAATCTCGGCTAAAGCGTTATCTTTAACTTGGAAAAGATTCTTTTATTATACGTTATGGAAAATTGAAACTAAATTAAAATGCGTTTGAAGTGATTTTGATAGACGTGCGTTATTTCAGCGTGTCGATTTCAAGAAAACCTTTTGAAGACGATGCTCCAGATCGAGGACACCTTCTTCGAACTGGGGCGTACATGCAGAAGGAACTGTCTTATAATATGCGACAGGGGAGCTATGGACGCGTCAGCTTGTGAGTTTTAAAATATTTTAAAATTCTAACGAGATCCACAGTTGTTTAAATCATTGCCAGTCATTCCCAAAGAACAGTGGGATTCGATCATGCAAGGCAACTGCTGGAACGACGTAGAGTTGAGGGACAACCGGTACAATCAGATCATTCATATGGTGTCGGCGGCTAATGGTGCTGAAGAGTATTATTCAATCGAGGTTGGTATTTTCCAGAAATAATATAAGGTTTCTGAGTTTGTAACTTTTGACAGATGCAGTTCGTTGATCACTGAAAATTATATTTGGCGCCTTTATATTACTAAATAAAAAACCTCCTATGTTAAATCTACACGAAACAAATGAAAGGTCGATTTATTACAAAAATCCGATCCTACGAAAAATTCGAATTAATTTTATGCTGTTTTTATTTTAATTTTCCATAGGGCGATTGTGAAGGTTTGTGGTTAAAAATTTGTTGATTTTACACAATGAGAGGTGCTGCGTTGGCAGAAGACAACACCCTGTACTTTCAAAGACATCACCAACAGTAATGGAACTGGTCTAGTTAGTACGGTTGCGCGCGTCCGAAGACAAATATATTTTTTCCACTGAGTATTCGAATTCATAAAAGGAACAAAGTGGGCCGTTTCTTTTGGGACACTAGCTTATCTCAGAAACTATATGGGATGGAGCCAAAAGTTATTTGTTGTATTATAAATCTTCAATTTAATTGAATTTTGTCTATACAGGGTGTTTCATTTTTCGTGGGCAAGTATCAACTTTCTTCTTTTAAATGGAACATCTGGTATATTACTTCATTTTTCAATTCTATATAAAATTCTAGACATGTTTTGTATATAAAGTCTTATGCCTAAGTCTAACCGTTTTGGACGTTGACAAGGCTTAAAATATTCGCCAATTTCTTCATTCGGAAGCATTTATTGTTTCATTTGAGTAAGTTTTGTTGTAGATAAAATACTTGAATAACGGATTTCATAAGAAATTTCGATACATATTAATACACGGTAAAAAACAAAAAAAAGTAACAAAACTGCCAAAAACCTTTCTTTTTTAATGGAAACTACCTATTTTTATAATCTTGTCATATTTAGCATTAAAAATTAAATCAATTTTATTTAAGGTTGTATATGCCTAATATTTTTACTTTTTGACATATTTCTTTTTAAACATACTTGTCTATCACAAATCATATGCTGTTGCCATATAAGTTCAGTTAGTGTAAGGTTTGAACAAAACAAGTGCTAAAGTGCTGCCACTATGATTTACCATTTCATAGACCATAATCTTGCCGATGCGCTTATGATGAAAGATTATGTAAATGTATGTATGCCTTATTTATACACAATAAGACCAAGGATACGCGATAACGTTGCTGAATATTTTTTTAACGAACGATAAAAAAAAATTAGTAGCTTACAAAGGATAATAATTATTAATTTTTCAAAGAAACTTCCACAGGCTACTGTAATACTTTTTACAAAACTTCTGGATTCCTCCTGCGTCGGTTTTTGCTTAATGAAATTTGCTGACGTTTCTCCAATCATCCTGTTGGCTTCTTCGGAGCTTGACTGAACAGTCTTACCTTACAGTAACTGAACTTATATGGCACCAACATATTATTTGTGATAGATAAATATGTTTAAAAGGAAATATTTCAAAAATTAAAAAAAAGTACTAGGCATATAGAACCTTTTATAAAATTGTCTTAATTTTTAAAGCTAAATATGACAGGATTATAAAAATAGGTAGTTCCCATTAACAAAAAAAATGTTTGCCAGTTTTTCAATTTCATTTTTAATCTTATTTTTTGTGTACCCTCTATTAATATGTATCAAAATTTCTTATGAACTCCGTTATTCGAGTCTTTTGTCTACAACAAAACTTACTCAAGTGAATAAATGAATGCTTCCGAATGAAGAAATTGGCGGATATTTTAAGTCTTGTAAACGTCATTTTTCGCATAATAAATAAAAATGTCAAAAACGGTTAGTTAGACTTAGGTATGCTTAGATATAGGACAATATACACAAAATATGTCTAGAATTTTGTATATAATTCAAAATGGAAGTAATATACCAGGTGTTCCATTTAGTTAAATAAGGAAGTTGATACTTGCCCACAAAAATGAAACGCCCTTTATATACAACATTCAAATAAACTGAAAATTTGTAATACCCCAATTAATTTTTGTATATAACTTTTGACTCGATCTCCTATAGGTTCTAATATAAGGTAGTGTCCCAAAATAAACGACTCACCCTGTATAATGGGTCTGCGTACAGACGCGTTTACATAAACCCCACTTTTGTTTATTGTCTGAATGATGTCGAAGAAAGTGATTGACTTGGCATTATCAGAGCAATCGCGTGCGCTAAAAATGAAGATGAAAAATAATAAAAGCTCTCGGTCATATCGCCTACCTAGCAGTCATTTTTTCAATGTGGTGTTTTGTTAGGGTGCCTCGAAAACGGAAAAAATCTGTATTATTTCTTCTATTTAAACAATGGTTTGAGATGGGTACACTGTCATTTATTTATTCATGCATTATGTGCAAGTCGTATAACAAAATGAATTTTCACTATTACCCGATTTAAAAAATGTTTTTTGTATAGGAAGGAATATGAAAAGAATTTTGTGTATGTATTTGTATATATTTGTATGATTTCCGATAACTGCAACTGTTAATCATTTGATGATTTACGAAACGATTCATTTCATATAACCCATCCCTGACAGTTCTCTCTTGCAGGACCATTCGTGCCGTTCCGAAGACGTTGAGCTGGCCCGCGATCTGGACGCAAAAGCCGCGTCTGCATGGGTGGGCCACCCGTACTTCGACGTCATCGATAACTCCACCAACTTTGAGGGCAAAATGCGCAGGATGATCGGCTCGGTATGCCACAAGATCGGCCTCGCCATAGGTGACAGATTGCTTAGCACTTCAAAGAAGCACAAGTACCTCATCAGGGGTCCGTTGCCCGAAGAATCCGTTTTCCCCAAATTCCAGGACTTTGAGGTCGTTCATAATTACTTACAGTCCAACTCGCCTAACCAAGTCAGATTAAGAAAACGAGGGCAGAGAGGTGAGAAAAGAAAATACGACGGCACTCGATACCTATAAAATTTTACGTAAAAGCGGTGTAACAGACGTGCCTTCATTTTGAGTTACCGTTCCACTTCTAGGAATTGGTCTATGTCTCTGTGATAGCCCCTATGATGCTATACTAAGTGTTGTTAAGCAACTGTACTCAAAAATGATACTTTGTAGTTTATTTCCCTTTATGATTTTTTATTTAGTGCTTGTTGCTATTTTTATTCAAATTTGTTATTTATTACTGTTGATTAGTCTCTTATCGAAAATATATAGCTGGTAAAAGCACCCTGATTGCTTTTTATTTTACTAACGTTGATATAATTTCACTAATACAAATTTGGAGTTTTCATTTTCTAAATACTATAACAGATATGAAAAAGGTAAGGCTGTGTTGTTGGCAATTCGGAGGTGGTACAAAAGATCTCCAAAACGTTGCTTAGGTGCCAGTAGGCTAAATAACAGTTGGATGAAACTCCAGGGCTTTTAAGTTAGGATTTATTGTGTGTAAAGAATATTTTGGCCATCCGCTGCTAGCTGATGACCTATTGCGACTTTTAGGTTACTACAGTTACATACATACGGTACGACGTCAAAATCAGCCCGGAGGTCAAGTGATTGAGGTAAAAACCCAGATAACCCATCGCGACTATATCAACCTGCTCACGCAAAAGGACAATTCCCACTTTACAATCTACAAGAAGAGGCGCTGCTTCATATTCAACAACCAGTATTTCCAGCTCGACATCTATGAGCAACCTAGTCATCCAAGGTATTTTTTTACAATGAAAGCGGGTCCAATCCAAACTTTATTAGTTTTTAAAGTATAACATACCAGTTTCTGATATTGGCAATTTACCGGTCATCGCTTAATTTCTTTTGACTTATACCAGTGGGATGGGTCCTAACTATGTTTTTTTAATTCCTAATTTAATTGTGATTCTAAAACAGCCCTACCCAATTTCGTAATCTCTAACAAATTGCATTTGTCGTATATTAAATTTTGAAGCAATTTATTTAAATCCCAATTCATAATAATAATAACAATATACCAGCCGAACGGAACACATGAAATCCCATGTAAATTTTTAGGTGCTCAAATATTGGCTCTCCTGTACATTTTATAGCAAAGTTGGAATGATTAACTGATGTGCCGAGTTTGAATAAATTTTAATAAGTCAATCTTCAGTTATTAAATTAAATATGATGGCAAAATTAGAAAATTTTTATAGTTTAGGTAATGAATAAAATACTAGTAAAATACATTTGGACAATGACAACACGAAAATTCGTCACACTAACAATATTTTTATTTGTGACTGTTATACGTTATTAAAAAAGCTTTAATTAAAGCTAGATACGCGTTATTCAATTGAATAAAAAGTAACCATATTAACCATAATAAGTGGTATTATGTCGGAAACAGTGTTAGAGCAGTTTCCAAAATATTTTTAGTTTATTTGCTTGCTAAAACTATACTTCAACAATTAAACGTAAATTACACAATTCGAGTTTAAAGGCACCGTAATAACTAACTGCAAATAAGAAGACAAAACAAACAAAACGAGGATTCATTCTAAGAAAAGCTGTACATAAACATGAAACCTTGTGCACATTAAAAAAACGCAAATATTTTTTTGCGAAAAATGCGAAAAGCACCAAGAGCTCCAGGAAGGCGATGAAGAAAGAAGAGTAGTTTTTGTTTTAAAATGATGGAAAAAGCAAATAATATAAACATTTTTTTTTTAATATTTATTTCACTGATGAATTCACACTGAACAACGAACCAAACGTTCAAAACTGTCGGTTAATCGAATCCAATATCCTCAAAAAGTAAGTGTTATGGTGGGAATTTACAGACATATTATTGGTCCTTTTTTATGGACTATAATCTCACGACAAAAACCAATTTGGATTTATTACAAAATCACATTGAACCCGCAATAGAAGAAGTTATTCGCGAAGATCAAGGGATTTGGTATCTTTTTGGTATGGATGATTGTCTCGCCCATAACACCCGTATGGTTATTGAGTATTTGGGAAATACTTTTAACAGGAATATTATTGGGCCAAGGTGCCGAATCCTTTGGCAGACCGGGTCACCGGACCTCTCGCTGAATGACCTTTCTGTGGGGTCATTTGTAAACGTGTTATCTATAAAAATGTTAAATTTGAACATTTTAACTAGTTACAAGACGGTATTTTCTTAGAATGTCACAGAATTTCACAATAGTGCAGCAGTGTTAGAAATGAATTTTATGATCGCTTAGCTTATTGTTTAACTGCTAATGGAGTTGTTTACTTAAAAAATAATATTTCTTTTTAACAACGTTTTCCAGCTATATTTTTATTATAATTATTATTTGTTGCTTAATGAATGAAAATGAATGAAATTTATTCTAAGAATGCTTTAAGGGACAAGGAGGTCTTAAGAACTGAGTATGAATTTGATCCTAAGAAAAACACCTTCGTACTTAGTTTATTAACTAATCAAATGTGCATGTCTGTCTGTATTGTAAACCGACCTTTATTTGATATCATTGTCCAGCTTGGAAATAACGTCATGGAAAATATTCGCTGGTGTTTGTTGTATTGACCTTTTGCAATTTTGACCCTTCAAACAGTTACATTACAACTGTGCTATAAAATTTAGGGGGGAGCCAATATTTGGGCACCCAAAAATTTACATGAGATTTCCTATATTCCGTGCTGCCTTTAGCTTTGACAAGAAAATTACAGTTTAAGATTGGTAACATTTTTGACTGAAAAATAAGTTAAGTTTTCTTCATATTCTATTCAAGGTACTATCTTCTCAAATTATCCTTTTGTAATAAAATTGATATCCATCATCAATATAAGAAATTGTATAATCTATGTCATTTTTCACTAGAAGCTTAAACTTTAATGAGAAGCATTTGAATACCTGGCAGTATTTGTTTTTATGGATTTAACGTCCAATTAATATCCAACACCAAAATCGGCAAATCACCATATATTTACATTTTGAACCGGCCAATAAACAAAAAAATACATATGTCTTGACATAAGAATTGCGTATAATTTTACATAACATATTAAACAATAATACATTATTGTCAAATAAGTAGTCCACTATTTATATATATTTTTTATTTGGTGTTATTGGGATTATATATAACCAAATAACCAAGATAACAATATATTTAAATATAATTTGCTACTTTTGTTAAGGATTATTTCCTACAATTGAAGAAACAGATATCTATATAAACAAAGAATATTGTATTACCTACTTTTTAAAACTATCAATATTCGATACTCCTAAAATTAATTGAATTTGCGATGCACCTTGCCGCTTCATGGTGCCCTTCGGCCTTTGCTAATAGGTAAGGATGTGGATAAACCTTAATGCTGGCGTTTTTGTTGAGAAGCCATTTTACTAATGCCGTATGCCCGAAAATCGCTGCAATCTGGATTGTTGTCATATTATTTTTCACGATCGCGTTTATATCAACACCCCCAAGAAAGAGTTCTCTTATGCACGAAGCATTTTTACATTGCCTGTTTTGGATGTAGTAAAATGCGACAAGATAAAGAGGATTTTCTTTGGATTTAGATTTAAGATTGACGTCGGCTCCTAGGCGAATCATGTATTTAACCAATTGAGTGTTTGCGTTGGCGCAAGCCACCATGAATGGAGTGTACCCATCTGGATATTTGAATTTGTTGACGTATTGAGGATACATTTTCACCATACGTAAGCTCAGTAGCGTATTGTTATCCGAAACTGCTTGATAAAGTTCTTCAAAAGGATTACATTCCACTCGATCTGTAATATAAGACACCAACTGGGACGCTAACATAATGAAGAGGTATACTATTATCATTAAAAAAATCAACAGCCACGTTTTTGTAATTATCGAATAGCGTTCGCTGCACCATATAGCGAACTGCTCCCTGAAGACTTCTATACTGGAGCACATAATCATACAGAACATGTGTTAATGGCCTGGCAATTATTTGAGAATTATCAAATCCCATAATTTAACTTTGGTATTTAACATTTTTGGTACGTGTTTATTAAAAAACGTATTTATGATGTTTATGTCACATAGCTTGCTTATTTTAGGTTGGTACTACCTGTAAAATATCGAAATTTTAAAATGCGAATCAATAGGGAGTTTTTGTACTTATGACTTTCACCCTTATACCACTTTTGGTTACTTTTAGTTTTTTTGTTGACTTTACGTTAAAAGGTTGGATGTAGTCTGGATATCTTTCGTTATTTGATGAAACTTGGCGTGAATCACAATCACAACCTTGTAAGAAATATTTTGCGCTATATTTTATATGTTCAAGCCCCAATGACGTTTCAGGCAGACGCCTTTTAATTTGTTGATAATGTTAGGGACATGAATTATGTCCCACACGTTAGGATTTAAAAAAGGTTTATGCCTTCCTCAGCAGCAGATCGTCCTTATTGGCAAACTGCATTCCCTTTCTAATATTTTGCATTTTCAAATAATCCAACCTTAAACTATAGATTCCACAAAAAAATTGACCTTTCAAACCGACTGAAATATGTATCGACCATAGAAACCATGTTTGATATTTCGATGTTTTTTAGAATTAACAATAAACTAGAAAAATAAAAATATTTAAAAGATGACAGTTCAATTAAAATAAAATAAAAGCACATCTTTCCTTTTTAAATTCGTATTGAGTTACATATTAGCATTATTAAATGGCGATTTTATAGAATTCAAGCACATTTTTGGTTCATATGACAATCGGCATTGGAATATCAAAATCATAATCTGTGTTGCATTTTCCCATTGTTTTCATAGAAATGTAATTTCAACAATTTAATGAAACTAAAACTGAACAAAACGATCAATTAAACGTTACACACGTTTCGAAAAACCGATAAAATCAGTAAAAAAAGTTGATTGGATTGGCAAAACCGCCCCATCACTGGTAGCTGCGTCATTAATTTTTCTTAAATGGCCTGAACTCGTATTACCTCAAAGTAAACTAGCACCGTTACTCGTTTCTTATTTTTTATTTAATTAAATATTCGCTTTTAGATGTAAAGGATTAATATTACTGGAGACTTATTCCGCCCTTGAGGAAAACGAATTGAAGAAACATCTACCAACTTTTTTGAATATTGAAATAGAAGTTACCGGAAACCCTGATTACTCCATGTATAATCTGTCACTTAGAGAGGATTGGAAAACTTCAAAGAAATATAACCGAACTCCTGCCATAATTACGAGTAGCTAGCATACCCAATAATACAAACGTACTATTGTGAAAAATGTTCATTTTAGGTCCCGAAGACAATGCCCTTTCAACAGTAGATAAAAAGCAGAAAAGCCAATACGCAAATAATGAATGCAGAGGTGATTTTGACCGCGAGACGTCGGTGAAAATGAATGGATTTGATGATATGAGCAGTGTCAATAGTAAAGTTAACGGAAAAGCTTAAAACGCGTGATATATTGTCATAGTCATTGTCCTAATAGTATTTTAATATGAGTTTCTGAGTGGTATGTGGATATCGATCTCTAGAATCATAATGGCGAAACTTTAACAGTGTATTTAGCAGATAAAAGTATGTAAAGTTCATATAAAATTATGTCCTCAAATGTTTCAATTTAGAGAGTGTTGTAATATTGCCAAAAAAAATCTTTTATTTTCTGCCTTCTAGATTTTACTTTCAAACTTGGCAGGTATTATTCACTTAAAAACAATTATTAGTCACTTAAAAACAAATTTATAGATTTGTTTTTTGTTTAACCAGTGGCGTTCGTGCGAGCATCATAATTAATTTAGATAGTAAAAAAAAATGGTTAATAAATTTAGATCACCTGATCAATTAAAAGGAGAATCTAGAAGAGATTTGTCTATAAATAGGAAAAAAACGATTTTTTTACAATATTCCAAATGAATCTTTTTGGGAGATAAGTTTATATCAACTTTTTTCCTTATTTTTTTCTTCTGAATATGTTATTAACGTTGCTCCATTATAATTAGAACCACCCTGTAAGCCATATAAAAATTTCAGGTTCCTTCTTTTTTAAAAGGTAGGTTTATTTTTTTGTCTGCGGTGATATAGTTAGGATAGTATTAGAAAATTCTTCTTGTTTTTTCAGTCAGATGTTTGATTTTGAGTAATATATATATGTATAATTATGTAAATTAGTGGCGTAGAATGTCTTCATTTTTAGAAGAATCTGTAACATTAGCACCTAATTTTTTCGTTATAAATTATTTAGGGGCGCCTCTGAATCGTCGCAATGTTATTTTTTGTCAACGCATTTTAGGGAATATCTATCTAGAAAATGGTTGTATTGTGGTTTTCTGGGAGTAAATTTCATTCATTCCCAGAGACATATATTTTATAAAAACTTAGTATGTGGGGTTATTACTGACTCTAGGTGAATTTTTTTTAATCGACCGACAACAATCTGTGACTGTATAAGGTTGACTAAAGAACGAGGGGGAGTCATCTTAAAATTTATAAAACGTGTGTCATCAAGATATCTTTTTCTGTATAGATCTATTTTTAATGTAATATACAAGCAATTATTGGTATTGTATTTATTGTAATTTATAAGAATATCAGGAGACTTGCCAGTTTGTTAATCTTGTTTAAATCATATCCATTTATTTTGGATGACTCTGGATTGTGTGAAATAAATTTTGTACTTATCTTTTCCGCAATGGTACTTGAAATAAATTATATTCTGGATGGATCTACATGTTTTTGTAAGATCAACTGGGTTTGACCTTGTTAGGAAAATAACGAGACAATAATTTCCCTTTCACAAAAAAAATATTTATATTTCAATGGCTCTTGGAACAAAATACAAAATAAACAATCAACTTTTGTGACTCAAGTAATGCTTCATCACTTTCTTGCCAGGCACCAGACCCTGCGTTAATCCCAACCTTTTTCTCTTTCTTTTGTCAGTTGAGTTTTCTTCCTTAATCTCCTCTAATTCTTGTGGTGTGGGCCGTGCCAATGAAGAATTTGATCCTCCGCTGTGGCACACTATGCCTTTGGTCGCCAGAGTTTCTTTTTCCACTTCTAATTGCGCATCTGTCTTCTGAACATCAGAATCATGAGCATACTTGCAATTATGGCCAAATCGACATCTAAAACAAACTGCAATCACAAAATTTAAAAACAATTTTTCCAAACAAGTGACCTTCCTTTGCGATAGTTCCAACATATTTTTTTACCATTAATCACCACAACATCTTTGGCGTCAATCATTTTCACATGCTTTTGTAATATGGCTTCTTTGGCATGCTCAGCTTCAATAAAAGGATTTGTAAACACTGAAATTGCAAATCATTATCGCCTAATTATTATGTTTTGCAAACATTTACCCGAGGATTTGGTTTCATTCTCAGCAAAACTTCCTCCTTCAAAGTTTGGCGTGGGCAACTTGAAAGGAGTTAGATTTCCTTCTGTTTTGCTAAAACATATGACAGCTGACCCATTTTTTACCAAGTTGAAAAGACTACTTCTTACATTAATTATAATTGACAAAAAAATCTAAAAATGTAGACGCCCGACCAAATTACATGGAATTCGGAGTGTAGGAACTAGGAGTTTTTCCCTACCTTACTTCATTGTCGGATTCATAACTATCTGAACTATTTGATGACTGACCATAATCTGCCACGAGTGACATTTTGACAAAAACTAGGGTTTTTTAAAGAATATTTACGGTGTCATTGTAATGTTCAATGTTCTAAATACTTCTAAAGTTTGATTTATTTTTTTTTAGAAAAAGTAAACAAAACACTAAAGCTCTGACCAATCAACAATCACAGTTACCACAGGAATGTGACACATATTTCTTTTGTCTAATTTAATAACTAGGCAATACTATCGGAGTCATTCGATCATTACTGCGAGTGCTTCTATCTTAGTGAATATCAAATTTGGCTCTAAACAGCGCAAAACCCATTAGCAGGCACTAACAGATTACAAACTTATCATAACAATCAAACCGAGTATAATAAATTACATTGGTTTTTGTGAAGTTTTACCCGCCAAGTGTAATGCCTCCACACAGTGGATATTACAAAGTACCACAGGATAGTACATTTTCTTCTTCTTTGGGAACTCCCAGAATTTGGAGCTGCTGTGCCGATGGTTTCTTTTGCCATTTTGTAACTGCAAAAATAATTTGGAACGTTTCATTTTTTTTAGTATATGTTAAAGTTTTATTATCTTAATCTAGGCTAAGGAAATAATAAATAAGAATAGTTACAAGTTAACCTTAACCACTTCAACAAACTTACATTTCGCATAAGCATATCACGTTGACTTGATAAGAATCAACGATAAGGAAGGGATTAATTGTCTTGGCCATACGTTTGCCCATTTCAAGTGTTACTGTAGTCACGAGACCTATTCCTTTGAATGTAGAAAACCTCTAATTGGAATTGGTTCTTATTTGGCTGCTTGCAACAGTATCTTCAAGATGCAGCTGTCATGGAGTGCAAAAACCATCAAGTACTTGATGTTCCTTTTCAATTTATTTTTTGTGGTGAGTAGTCTTGTGTTTTAAACTTTTAGTTCGTGAGATATGGGTATGATTTATTTATAATATCTAATAGTTTTTCCGATACTTCAAAATATCCATTTGTTTTAAAAATGAGATATGAACGCAAAAATAATTTTGTACATTTGTTAATGCGAATTGTGAGAAGTTCTCTAGATCATAAAGATTAGATAATTGGGATTTCTATTGTCTTTAACAGCATTTATTACCGATCATTGTCTGTAATATTTACCTTACGAAAACAATTGAATAAAAAAAATTGTTTTCATAGCATTTTTTGGGTATTAATAAATTTATTTGAAATTATAAATCCTTATTGAGTTATTTAATAATACGGAAATTTGTAAACAATTTGTAAATGACAACATTGTAAATGATTTTAACGTCTAACTTTTAGATAACAGGAATTATATTTATTGGAGTAGGCGTGACAGTTAAAACAGTATACACAGACTATTCATATTTTTTGGATGGCAAGTATTTTTCCCTGCCTAATATGCTGATTGCAACTGGGGTATTGATATTCTTTGTCTCTTTCTTTGGATGCTGTGGAGCAATAAAGGAAAACTGGATACTTCTGGCGGTGGTAAGAATGTTCTAAGCTCTAGTAAAATGTAAAGCTGTCAACCATTGGTTTATTTTGAAAACAAGTAAAATTCTGAAAAAGGCTTGAGTTTACATCACAAGCAGAATTGTTTTATTCAATTTGTAAGAAGTAAATTAAAAAATAAATAACAACATATTTATTTTTCAAAACGAAACTAATATTTTAATAGTTGATGTAACTTAAAAGTCTTTCAAAGTTTTTGAAGTCATGAATTACTACAAAATTATTGGGAATAAAATTTTAAAAAGGTGTACTCATTTTAATTTTATTTTGAAATTGATTTCAGTTTTCCATACTATTGATTATCATATTCATCTTTGAGTTTTCTGCTGGTATTGCTGGTTATGTTCTCAGAGATAAGACTGTCGCCTACTTAAACTCAACACTATATGAAAACCTTAATACTTACCAGGATCATTCACACGGAGTTTGGGACCTAATTCAAAGTAATGTAAGTATGCTAATCCCTTGCAATATTTTGATGTCAAAACGTTTTCACCAATACTTATAATTCGCATAATTTTAACTGATTTTATAAATATACAATAATCGCAGTTCCTTTGTAATTCTGTTATAATGCTTTTAAAGTGAATTGAAAAGCTCTAAAAATCTTATTTTTCGGGTTTCATTCAATTAACTAATTAGTGTTTCTTTCAATTAATGTTCAGAATATATAATATAATATATTTTGTTTTATTTAAAATTATAGTTTTTTTTTATCAAAGTATGTTTAACATTTAAGAATCATTTCATATTCTTTATGAGTGAATCGAACATTATTTTTAAGAACATATTCTTTTCTTTTTATAAAACCCGTCAATTGTTGTTAAATTGTTCTTTGCCTTAATTTAACTTCAGTTCGAATGTTGTGGAGTGAACGGACCCAATGATTGGTTGCCCGTGTTTCAAAATGGTAGCCTCCCTGTATCTTGTTGTGGATCAGTTAGTGGCACAGTAGGAGCCTTTTATTGCTATTCAGATGTCGAAACCACAACTGTAACAGTACCAATAAGCACTGCCAGTTCAACAGAAAATACTTCTACCACTAATATTACTGATAGTAATATTACTGTTAGTATAACAGAGAGTTCTACTTCACGTAAACGTCGAGCAGTTTATTCCAGTCTTATTCTTAACAATTCATCATCTGTGCCGTGGCAGACAGGCTGCAAAGTAGCTTTCGGGAATTACATCAAATCCCACGCTTTGCAAATTGGAGGTTGGGCTATGGGAATAGCTGTCGTGCAGGTTGTAAACTATTCATCACATTAAGTTAATGTATTATTTTGTTTTAATTTCAGTTTATTGGGATTGTGTTCTCTTGCCACCTTGTCCGGCAACTCAAGAATGGGTACAGCAGTACATAAGTACATCAGGTTGGGTTTCTTTAATTGTTAATAGACCTTAAAGGTACTTAATTTTATGGATAATTGTTGATTTTTGTGCGTTATATGTAAGAATAATGTTTTTAGTTCTGTTTTACATTAAAAAAACTCTTTCTGTAGGCTTGCTTATGTTATATCAATTATAGAAAATGTGATAAAATGAAATATATTTTTGTGGAAATGTACCTTTAGACAAGAATATAAAAAAGTTTAACATTTTTTGATATTGTATATAAATAAATTGTTGATTTTTGTTCTAAAACCTGTATAGTCTTTAAATTTATAGAAGTGTTTATTGTCTGACTGAAAGTGATTGTGTCTAAAAGAAACAATTTTTAATAGGCTATTTGATATTTTATTTAAACATAATATTAAATTTTAATTTTATTGCTAAAAATACAATTTATTAAATTGTAAACATGAGAAAAGGTCACCTAATTAAAATACTTTAAAATTTAAATCAACTGAAGGAGCCTCTACTACCTTACTCATTCCTAAATAAAAGAAATTTCAGTTAGGTAGGAATATTTTCGCTTATTTATATGCGCAGCTGATTTTGATCCGCAGTCGCCAGAATCGGTTAAATATGTAGATTTCTGCGTTTGCGCAAATTAAAAGATCATAATTTACCATAGTGCGCGAATTTGTCGTGAGAATACTTTGACTCTTAGGCTTAAGTTTTTTTAACTCATCCACGACAATACACAATTGATAAGAATAAATGTAATTGCTTTTTTTTTATATTGGGAGCCGATTTTCCGCCAAACGGATAGTCACATTAATATTTTGGTTGTTTTTTGGGACTAAAGAAAACAAACTCAAAACTGGTTTAGTTTTTTTTTCGATCCTTTTCTGATTGTTGCGAGGTAACAATACAATATTCTCAATAATCAATAGACACATTTAGAGAAAAGGATTTTATTCTTAGCTGTGATAGATTTATAATGCGAGACTTTTTATAAAAATATCATACTTTTAATGTCGCATAAATTTTTTGCTCGCGAGTAAGTATTAATTGGTAAATTAATGTGTAAGGTGTATTTTTATAAATGAAATTAGGCAACGCACGGGGATACTTGAGTTTATTCAAGGGAGGACTATTAGGCGGGCCCTCGACGATGGAATGGGCAGTTACAGTGAAATGTGAGATTTGTGGCAGATTCAGATACAGGTACAAAAATTAATGCCGGAGAATGCGAATTGGTAGGCTTAGCTTATAACCGTTTATCTGTGGTAAGTAACAAATTTCAAAGTCATTTGACTATCCGCTCACCATGCTGCGAAAAAATATCCGCAACAAATGGACTCCAGTTTCAAAACATGTTAAGACCTTCTGATTTTACCGCTTCTTGGACCCGAAAAACGAAACACGAACCGCCTCAAAATGTTATACCGCGAAAAGTTGCTATTTCTTTTTATTGACGCGAGTTAAGACCTTCTGATTTTACCGCTTCTTGGACCCGAAAAACGAAACACGAACCGCCTCAAAATGTTATACCGCGAAAAGTTGCTATTTCTTTTTATTGACGCGAGTTCGTGTTTAGTTTCTGTTTGGTCTGCTTAGGGGAAAACCGTCAAACTGGCATATTAGTAAATCACAGAATATGAACCGTAAATTGAAGTACTATGCTATGTTTCCAAGTTTTATTAAACATTTCTGATCTGATGCTGTGCTCTGAAAAGACAAAAATGTCTAATTCAGAGTTTGTATACAGGATTTTAAATATTCCAAACATTGCAAAGAAACGATTCTAAGTAATCGACGTTCGTATTAAAATATTTCTAAATAACGTTCTAGTCATGAACACTCCAGTTCAAATACCCCTGAATCTCCTAGCAGTGATTTACATCTTGTGTATTCAACCTCTCAGTATCAATTCTCGAACTTCTACCTTGTGGAGATTGAACGCCGATAAAACAAAAATAATCGGAGACAGCGGAACAGAGGAAATTGTCCACAGCAAGCTGCTTCCACATATAGATTCTCTGTTCACTATCATAACCTCAACAGAACATAATGGTATTTCATGGGTGAAGCAGGAGACAAACTATTGCCCCAAATACCATAGTAATAAACAAGGGTAGGTAATTTTTTTCAAAACAGACCAGTGATGGGATAATATCTTTTTTTTTTTAAGAAAAAATAATACTAATGCAAATTTGATATTGTATCAAAATAAAGCAGAAGAATTGTCTAAGAATGATTTGTATTGTGGGAAGCCAGTTAATTTCACCTTTTATGACAACTTAGTTGGCGTTATAAATCGAGTTAAACATCCTTCTGTGGTAGAACCTGGTGCAATTTTTGAATTTGTTAAAAAGTTTAAGTTCAAGAATATTAAATCTTTTGACTTGGGCATGCTGGAAAAAAGACTGAAACAAATTAAAAAGGAGGTAATTTATTGTTGTATGTTATTTCCTGGTTAGTTTGTAATTTATTTTTAGAAACCAAAGTCAGTACAACTTTACATTTATTTTGGTAACTATTGGCGTATTAAGGGAGAGCCATGCCAGGCTATCGAGTGCTTCCGGAAAGGATTAGCAATTTCTCCACACAATCCTGAAATTTTGCTCAATTTGGCAAAAGTGCTTTTTCATTTACAGTATTTGGATGATGCCATATACTTAACCAGGCGCTCTTTAGAAGTTTCTCCCCTCGAAAAATCTGCTTGGGAACAATACTTCACACTAGGTGAAATTTTTAAGGCCTATGGCCACTATCAAGAGGCTATAATACATTTAAGACACACTTTGGATCTTAATCCTGGTTTTGAACCCGCTCAGAAATTGCTTAAAGAGATGGAGAATATGCCTGCCACACCTATCCATGTCTATACTTTGGTTATAATAATTTGTTTAGTATGTGTAAAACAATTTTATTACAATTTATATTACTGTTCTTCATTTTTAGGTCTTGGGGGTATTATTAGTAATTGTCTCCTCTTTAGACAACTTATCAAGCTGTAATGAAGAAATGTCTAAAGAAAAACATTTTAACAAAGCCATGGCCATGAGGTCATTGAGAGGCTTTGCTTGGAGTTCCAAGCGTTCAAAAAAATCTATGTAGCAAAAACGCTGTTGCTTTGGATAGATAGCAATAAGAATTGAAGTGTCCAGTACTTACTACTCAGAGCTAGAATATTTTATTTTATACCAGTATGATTTGCTCATTTATTTTGTTCCTTTTATTTATTAAAGTTGCATCAAAGCATTGATGTTATTGTTTCTTAGGCTAATGTTACTCAAAAAGAGTAAAACAGGTTCAGTCAAGGGTTTTATTTCTACAAAAATTCATACGCTACAAAAAGAGAATGTTCCAAACTATTTTAGTTACTAAAAACTGATTGACAGTATGTGACTTGATGATTCAATGGATCAATGGATCAGAGCATTCAGTAAACATTAAAATGTTAACTTAGTTAAAAATGTTTTTGACTAAAACTTTTACTCTTTTACTATGTGTGCAGTCTAATGGGAAAGTGGAGGGTAAAACAAGCTCCATAAAAATTTTGACTGACTAACCAAATCATACACATTTCTGGAAAATAGTCTTTATTTATAATGAATGAATTATTACATTAGCAATAAGTTGAGAGATAAACAAACAATTTTTAATGTTGAGGAGAAAAGTTAACTCACTTTTGAACTTAAGCTGTATTATGGATGCCCAATCGGAAAATATCATGTTGAACGAAAAATGTTGTACCTAGAGGTTTTAACACAAATATTTGAGAAAAAGCATGAGGTGGATCTTCGTCGGCCTAAAATAAGAAAAAAAATTGCTTGAGGTCCGTTTCAAATAGTTTTCTCAAAATGTTATTTATATCTTATTAAAATTGGGGATACATAATTTAATTCATGCCTGGGCCTCTTATAAAGGAATACATAATCCTAATTGAGTAGTGTGTAATAATAGCAAGAATCTAAATTTGACAAAGTTAAAATTCTTCAACATAGAGAAATGTCTGGGTAGCTTTTACCACAATAATTGAAGTTAGTTCTTGAAGCAAATTCTGTGTTTGGCTTTTCCTGTTTAAATTAAGTGAAGACATGTGCTAGTTAGCGATCTGTTTTAGAATATTAGTAAGCATTCTTATCAACAAATAATTAAGACTTTAACAAGCAAACAAAATGCTGATACGTACTGCCAAACAGCTAAATTGTATCATGGAGCACCAGTCGGAAAATATCATGTTGCACAAAAAAGCTTCCCTCTATAGGTTTTAAAACGAATGTTTGCACATAGGCATGAGGAAGATCGTCATCAGTCTATCAATATTACCTTTGTTACTAAAGTTGATACGCTATGTTACAACAGGCTTGATTTAACTAAAAATTAGGTTACTGCTTACCTGCAATCTTCCTAAAACATTTATTAAAACACCGCCATCAAACATGGGCTGAGAGTCTACTGCTGTTATTATTCTATTAATTTTTTGAAAAGTCAAACTCTAAAAGGCAATGGCAATTAACAATTTTAAGTAAAATTCCACGATAACTTACATTCAATTTCTCCATAATTTTTGGGGCTCCTTGAATTTGTACCCCTTCGAAAGTCATAAAAGACAAGTCGCTCTACAGAATAAAGCATAGTAAAATGCAAATGATTAAAAAATGGATATAATTTACTTACATTGTACATATTTGCAAGATTTTGCCTTTGCATGGGATCATCAAATAGGGCATAATATTGCTGTACAAATCCCTTGCCTATGGCTTCGTATTGCGGATTCAGGGCCATATTTTGAGTCTAAAAATTAACCCCAAAACCACCTCCAAAAAATTACTGCCGCGCACAGAATGTGAGTAGATAATTTTGGTCGGTGTAACATATCTGTACATGTTCTTCTTTTTTGGAACCATGCTACGAAGTAAGCAAGTCTGCAAAAGACATCCATCCATTATAATTAAAATCTCACACAGCCAAGAACACGGTACATAATTTTTGCCCGATGCAATTTCTACATGTATTTCTGCATGTATGTAAATATTGCGACGTGTCTATTACCAAATTGCAAGAAATTTTGCAGATAAAACTAGCAGCTATTTTTTCCCAAATTTGTGTGTAGGAATCGGCGCAAAGTGTTTGTTTTCATAAATTTGTTGGGTTAACCTACATATATAAAAAATGTAAATAATGTCGAGAAACATGCAAAAATAGACGTAGAAATTGCATGGTATTTACTGGGCTTTTATATCTATTTTTAGATAGATTGTAGAGCAGGTAATGATTTTGTGTGCCTGCCTCTACAGTTCGCCCTCTAACCTACACTTTGCGCCATTTTCTTCCTGAACAGCGGTTTTCAAAAACTTATTTCGTTCGTCCAGAACATTTAACGAAACCTAGGCATATTTTGACAAAATACTGTCGTAAAAATGCCGTATCCAAACTTATCGACGATCTGACAGTGGCCATGTTAGTTATCGAACTCCGCAGGACCATTGGCAAAAAATGAGATTTTAAAAAAGCGGATGTTGAGTGGACTTTCTCAAAATTATTTTACGTTTGCTTTATGAGTTCCTGTACTGTCAACATTGGCAGGGCCTCTATGTGTCTAGTAGCTAAATGATTCTAGCCAACATTCGACGAAAATATTAACCACAGATTACTGAGATGACTTAGATAAATAATATATTTAGTTATTTTCCAAAGAAACTTCCACAGGCTACTGTAATACTATTTACAAATCTTCTGGTTCCTCGTGCGTCTGTTGTAGATAAAATGAATTTGCTGGCGTTTCGCCAATCATCCTTTTGCAACAATACTTCAGTGTTTTGTAAAGCATATAATGTAGTGTTGATTAGTAATTAACAAATAAAAAAAATCGATATTTATTTTGTTTCTATGAGCTCGTCTTTTTTTATTAGACGACTTCCCGATCTTTGTAATTATCCAAGTGACTTTTTTTCCAGATGTCATAATATCCATGGATCCCGGTGGGACTCGAAACTACAACTTCCAGCAATTGAGTTGGCAGAATTCCAACCGAGCCATCGTTGCTCGCACCAGCAATATTTCATGTCATATTTCAAATTTTTAAATTAAGTTTCCTTTATCACAGTTTAGTGGCATACGAGATCCACAGAAAAAATAGGTAATTATGGCAAAGTCTAATGTTATGGAATCCGACTGTAGTGTTCTGATAGTTTTGTTTTAATATATTTTTTCCTATTCCGTACCCTAAAATATCCAAAAAATACTCATGATGGTTCTACAAAAATTTACCCAAAAAGCAATCGCCGCGTACTAAAACCTTATCAGACGCTCATTTATAAATGATTGGGTATTTGGTAGTAAAAAGCAGGAAAAATATATTAAAACAAAGCTATCGTCACACTAACAACGGATTCACAACATCCACCCTTGTATTTCTTGACAAATACGACGAATCGTTGAATCTAAAATCTAAAAGAAAACTTCCGACAGAACCTAACGATTTTGTTGCATAGAATGCGAATGTGTAATAAAAAATGAGTTTTCATTTAAGATTTCAAAATTGACCCTTCCTGCTGGGTTGGGTGGGGAGTTTATATTTTGTGTTATCGATCTTTTTTTTTTATCTTTGAAGACATTTTTTTGTTTTTTGACCAATTGTGTCATTGTGAAGATATTGCACCGTTTCCGATATTGAACACATGGTATATAGTCATGGTCATATTGCTCGCTGGCCGCAATCCACAAAATAATAGTTCTGAGAAAATCAGTGATATAGGAGAAAAACTGAAATATTGAGATGAGTTATGTCAATATTTCAATATTTCAATTCTCCTATGTACTACAAAATTTATAGTAGTGTTTTTATAATTATATATTGATTTGAATTAATTAAAGTAATTAAGCTATTATCTTGATTCGGGCTTAAAGGCCGTCGTCGGTTGGAATTACTTCCTAACGTTTCGCTAGCACGAGTGGCGAGCTTCTTCAGAGGTCCTTCCATCTCCGATGTTGGACGTAGACTGTCACGGAGATGGAAGGACCTCTGAAGAAGCTCGCCACTCGTGCTAGCGAAACGTTAGGAAGTAATTCCAACCGACGACGGCCTTTAAACCCGAATCAAGATAATAGCTCATCAACGGGCCGCGAAAGCCTTAACCAATTTAAAGTAATTAAAACAAAAAATATATTTTTTGAGGTTCTTTTTTAAATGTTTTTAAATTTTGCGCCGTTATTTTTTTTTTGCACATATCAATTTCACAAATAAAGTGCAATATAAAAAAGTCTCATTAAAACAGTAAATCAAAGTTTTAACATTATTTTATGATAAAAATATAATACGGCAGGTTCATTTGCGAGATAGATAGATAGCAGTAAATTAAAAAAAAAAAACAAGCTGGAAATTAATAAAACACTAAATAATGTGCTTTTATAAACTTTGGCACGTAAACAATAACTACGAAAAAATATTGAAAAGCTATAACTAAAAAACAACCGACCTATAGTTTTTGATACATGTCGAAGTACGTTTTACTTCTAAAATAAAAGAGACAACTATCGGATACGTAATCTTTTAACTTTTAAACAATAAAAACAACAGACCTATAATTTTTGGTAGAGAACTAATTTTAAAATTATAAGATAGCTAAGCTATTCTAAAGCCAAAGCAACAACCAACTGATCTGGTTTTTGGAAAATAAATAAAAAATACAATTTACATTTTTTGATGGCATTACTCTTTAGCAAATCATTAAAGTTTTTGATTGGAATTGGTTTAACATCCCGATTAGGACGATCTCGATTCACATTTACAAAAGATGTAAAAGACGCGCCTGCTCGCACTTTTCTTTGCATACTTTGAAAACACATGTGTCCTTTATTTTGGCAATATCGCCTGAACTGTCCCAATGAAAGTTAAAAGAAGTTTGAGTTGGAAGTTTTTTAAAATAAAAAAAATCACACACACACACACACACACACACACACACACACACACACACACACACACACACACACACACACACACACACACACACACACACACACACACACACACACACACACACACACACACACACACACACACACACACACACACACACACACACACACACACACACACACACACACACACACACACACACACACACACACACACACACACACACACACACACACACACACACACACACACACACACACACACACACACACACACACACACACACACACACACACACACACACACACACACACACACACACACACACACACACACACACACACACACACACACACACACACACACACACACACACACACACACACACACACACACACACACACACACACACACACACACACACACACACACACACACACACACACACACACACACACACACACACACACACACACACACACACACACACACACACACACACACACACACACACACACACACACACACACACACACACACACACACACACACACACACACACACACACACACACACACACACACACACACACACACACACACACACACACACACACACACACACACACACACACACACACACACACACACACACACACACACACACACACACACACACACACACACACACACACACACACACACACACACACACACACACACACACACACACACACACACACACACACACACACACACACACACACACACACACACACACACACACACACACACACACACACACACACACACACACACACACACACACACACACACACACACACACACACACACACACACACACACACACACACACACACACACACACACACACACACACACACACACACACACACACACACACACACACACACACACACACACACACACACACACACACACACACACACACACACACACACACACACACACACACACACACACACACACACACACACACACACACACACACACACACACACACACACACACACACACACACACACACACACACACACACACACACACACACACACACACACACACACACACACACACACACACACACACACACACACACACACACACACACACACACAGGGTTAAGTGCTGATTATTGATCGTTAAAAAAAAAAAAAAAAACGGGAAATTCAATAGCGGCAGTAACTCTCTCTAGCGTAACCGAAGTAAGATAAATATGTGCCGGTACTGTTCGTTGTTAAAATACAAATATGCGAATTTTATGGTACAATTAACTAAAAATAGCCATTTTTTTTATATCTGCCACTATTGCACCAAGCCTGGAATAGCCGCAATGGAACCAATCCAACATTTTCGTAGTTTTAAATAGAGTCATTATTTTTTTTCATTTTATTAACAAAACTAAATCACTGTTACAAAATGCAATAATATAAAACTTAGAGCATTAAATTTATCATTATTTAACAAAAAATTTACATACCATTCCAAAACTAGGTTATTTAAAACGACTAAATATTTAAAGTATACTACTGCTCTCCTCTACAGGCAAATCAAAATGTAGGTTCAGCAGAGCGTTCGCTGTTTCTTGGGAAACCATCGATTTTTGATGGATTCTGTGAAGAACAAAGCAATTATTATTATTATTTATTACTATACTCAGTCACAAATACTCACCGTTTAACATGGGTTTTGAGATTCTGCTCCTCGGTAAAACTATTCGGGCAATACTGACACGCAAACGGTCGGTAACCAGTGTGTAACTTAATGTGCCGGTTCAATTCCTCCAAGTTATCGTATCCCTTGTCGCACTTGATGCAGGGAAACTTTTTATTTTGCCCGTGAACCTTTTTCTTGTGTTTCCTCAATACATCCTTCGAAGCGTAAAGCTTGTGACAAATGTTGCATTCCACTTTTTGCGTTTCCTTTTTCCGCAAATTTACCTTCTTTTGGACACTTGCAACACTCTTTTGTTGATTATCCTGGAACAAACTAGAGTCTATTGTCTCGTTCTGTTCGAACGTGATAGCGGTCCCATCGGCGCCCAATAATTTATAGTCGACAAACGTTACATCATTTAAGTTAATCGGAACGGCTTCATTCATATCTGTCAAAATTAGATGTGGCTGATGTAATTGTTGTAACAAAATTAAAGGATCCAAGCCGAGCGTCTCCGATGCCACAATGTTTGGGGAGGTTTCCTGAATTGTGGGCTAAAACAAAATCGAGTCTGACAATGAGCCCCTGGGATAGCTTATTTTATAAAAAAATATAACATGAAAAGGATTTTTAATTATCCCTTTTACAAGAAATAATTCGATAAATTAAGTGCGAAAACACTGCTGGCATATTCAGCCACCCCGTGACGTCACTTGTTGCATTGTGCGAGTCGAGAATTGTATAAAAGTGGTTTTGTTTCTGAAAATATCGTAAATTTTACTTGTGGTTCCGTATTGATTCCAGGCTCCGACTCAACATTGGAGATAACTTCTTCAGCTACCGCTTTTAATAACTGCGTCGCATGTTTGCGCTTGCTGGCATGTGGTGACTTCCGGTTTAAATGATTTACGTTTTCGTGTGCCTTGCGAATTGTCGCGGTTCGAAAAGTCTGCTTGCAAAAGGAACACGAATAGGGCCTTTCACCTATAAAAAAACCCTCTATTAAAGAATGAAATGAAAATACGCGAAACAGAATTAGATGTTTTTTTTTTAATTTTGTGGAAATAACGTGTCCTATGTAAGAACTCTTTGCAAACGTAAAAATAAATAAATTAAGCCTCAATATTATTATATTAAATTTTAGTTCTGGAAATTCCTTGCTTGAGCTATGAGTCAATTTTGAGAATTATACCATATACCATACCAAATTATAAGTGCATAATTTTTGTACCACTTTCCCTCCACTTGCCACTGTGGTTTGAGTAAGTAAATTATTTTTTATAGATATGAGATAGGTACCTATATTTTAAAGCAATATCCAAATTTAGATAGATTTATTTTGTATTTGGACAATTTATTTTGTATTTGGACAATTTTCACTTATTAAAAAAATTTAAAAAAAAAACACATTTCATTTCTTTTTTTCTCAATTTTTACGGCACTTTTTGATTATTTTCAAAATTTCCTTTGCCTCCTGCCTCTGCCCCCACAAAAAAAACCCTGTATATTTGGCAAAAAAAATTCAATGCATTGAGATTAATATTTGAATATTGCCTGAAAAATATATACCTGTATGAAGCAGCATGTGAACTTTAAGGCTTGACTTTGAAGAAAAGGCTGAATTGCAAACACCACAAACTATATTTTTTTGGACAGTATCATGAGTTTTCATATGGGTGTCTAATGTTGATTTTAGCGAAAACTTTTTCTCGCAAAGTATACAGCCATAGGGTCTCTCGCCTGTATGGGTTCTAAGATGCCGTTTCTGAAAAATTGCCACGTTTTTATTAAGTTTTAAGATTCCATTGTTGCTTGTTCACCAAGTCGGAAGGCTTTTGGAACTCTTTTAGACAATATCTACATATTTTTCCATCTCCATGAATGGAAATTACGTGCTTCTTGTATTGGGATTCATTTGCAAACATTTCATTACAGAAATTACATTTAGAAAGTGTCGTATCCTGATTTACGTTTTCCTCAAGCTTTTTAGGTATTTTGGATAACATTGGCTCCGACCAATTTGTAACTGCCATCTTGACTTCTTTGCTACAAGTGTGTCGCTGAAAATCGTCCATGTTGGGACAAACCTTGTGACAATGGATGCACATGACTTGAGCGTCGCGAAAAATATCGTTGGTTTCGACTGGGGCTTCAGTTTCTACAAAATTTGTTTGCATACATTAGACAATGACATAGGCAGTTTTACTTTAATACTTTACTTGAAATATGTAAACAAGAATGATGAACCCTTTTCAAAAGTACAGTGTTTTCATTTATATATTGACACCCACTTACAGACTTATTAAATGAGATAGGCAAAAACTTTTTACATAAACGTTTCATTGAAAATGTATCGCAAGTATCAAGTGAATACCACCACTACCAGTACTTAAAACCCGATGTATATTGCTCATTAAATTCAACTTTTGAATAATAAAATCTAGTTATTTTAAAAACGGCTGAACCAAATAACAATAAACTAAATATTTTTTATATCGCCACCCAAAGGACTTTCATCCTGACTAACAATATACAAAATGTCCTATTTTTTAAAAAGTGGAGGTTTTATATTTTTATCTTTATGAGGCTCATTTGTTTTTATTGATACGTTCAGAAGACAATAGAGAAAAAATCCTACAACTTTTATACAACAAGTTTTTAGCTAGCCTCTGTACATAAATCCAGTAAATTTCTCAAAACTAAAATGATATTTGGACAAGGCTCATTTTATTCACTATCATCAATTTCTTTGAGGGGATTTTTGTATTCATTTTTGTTATACAGGATAGCATTTATATATATAACAAACTAATTGGCTCCATTTTTGATATTCCAGTTTTCGGCAAGATTTGTTTAAAATTTGATCCTTTTTAAACTTGCACGTTGACATAGAATTTAGGAATGTAGGTTAAATGCAAAAAAAAAAACGTTTCAAAAAGAGTCACTTCAATTTTTCAAAAAAGGTAGTAAACTAACTGCTCTCCAAAATAATAGTGAATAAACTTAACCTTAAACACCTAACATAAAGATCTTTGCCCAACGATAGTTAGGCCGATAGACACTTTTCCCCATTATGTGTTCTTTTTTTCTCCAACTGTTTACTTCAATAAAGTTTCGATTGATTAAATTACCTTCGATAGGTGTCGGGAAATTACTAGAAAAATTACTAATTAACTTGTCTAAGTTTGTTCTCTCGATACCGGAGTGGTTTTTAACGCACAATTCTTCAGTATCATCGGTTTTATCAGTCGGTACTGTTGCTTTTATTACTATGTTCGGATCCACCGTATCAGATGGCTTATCGCCATTAAACAGTATGTTCGATTCTTGCATATCATTTATTGAATTAAAAAGCAATGGATCCTCCTAAAAAAAATAAAAAAAAAAACTCAATAAAACAAATTTTTATGTTATACATTACGTATAGTTCCTTGACATTTTATTCAAAAAATATCTTTATTTATTTATTCCCGAATTTTTATTCACTTGATCGCTGCATAATATTGTGTAAATGTTTCTTAAAATATTGAATTTGTTTTACTTGGATGTTCCAACAAATGTACACCAGTTGTTGCTACCTCTAGTGGTTAAAAACCAAACTGTTTTTTTATCGTAAATAAGTCATTCCCTTCATGCGCTGGCAGACTGCCTAATAGCAAAGCAATTGGAGCGAAAAGAAGAAGTCAGACATCTAGTTATTCTCAATGGAATTAAAAATGCCCCAAAAACAATTTTTTTGAAACTCCCTACGATTTAATTCACTTTTTCCAAGTTTCTGAAAACTACAACCCAAATAAAAAACTGTTCGCAACTTAAACAATAAATTTTATCAATAAAACATTTCTGACGTTATGCTGCTTTGTGTGTGGAATAAAACATGGCAGTCGCCCTAACCGCAGTTTTTAGGCAGTAAGAAATTTGATTGCCACACACATTTTATTCTAAAAGAGTGGGGGGATCAACTCTCAACTTTCCTGTAAAAATTATGATGAACTTTGCTATAGCAATGTAATATATAACCCGAATAAAACCTGAATTTTCACAACGGTTTTTCTTTTTTTATATACCAAGTTTATGACACACTGAACACTGTAAAACACTTCTTATACAACATAAAAAAACTAGGTTGGCAAATTAAAAAGCAGACTCACCTGTAATTTTAAGGTTGAAAACATATTATTACCAGCTATGTTACCGTCGGTCGGTATTCCCACGTCAGCTAGATTTAGATAAACAGTCTGATAGTTGACATGACCCGGGTCGTGTACTTTTTCATTTAATAATGTTGCCTCTTGTTGTGAAATTAATTCGTTGCCATTGCCTATGTTATTAAAATCATCAGGTACTTCTTTCATAACTTGTTCAGACTCTGACGAATAAGTATTGCCAGTCTACAAAAATATGAGTTGGAAAAAAATTTATGGCAGGTTACAAAAATATGGATATCAGCGGTAAGCGCCGATTTTCATTTTTCAAACCTACCATCTGTATAACAGGAGTCTCTTCTAATTTATGAACCTGCCTAATATGCATTCGACATAGCAGCAGAGTTTTGAAATCTTTTTTGCAATAAGGGCAAGAGTAAGGTTTAAAAGTGTTGTGAACAATCAAATGCCTCTTCAATAGAGAGGAGGTTACAAATTTTTTGCTACAAATCTGGCACTGATAATTTCTTATATTTTTATGGTAGTTCAAGTGTTCTTTTAACCGGTAGTTGGTTAAAAACGCTCTAAAATTAACATACATCAAAAGCAGCTCATTTTTGCTAAGCAATACTCACTTGGAACACAAATTGCATTTGAATTTTTTCTCCCCATTGTGATACTGCAAGTGCCTCTTCAACGACAGATGCCTCGCAAATTTAGCATCGCAAATATTGCAAGAATGGGGCCGCTCTTCTGAAGACTCTAGACCAGAGTTGGGAATTTTTGGTTTAGGAGGTTTTACAGTCAAAGAACCTGTAGCAAAATATTTGTTTCATTAAATACCAACAAATAGATCAGAAGTACCATAGGCTGTTTGAAATAAGGGCTGCTGCAAGCATGGTTCAATAATGTTATAACCACCGAGAATTTCATTTTTGTGCAGTTTTCTGTGAGATTTGCATTCATCCATGGTCCAAAGATATTCGTTGCAGAGAACACAACGAAAATTGGGTGTATCAGCCTTTTCATGGGCTCTAACAAGAAAACCACAAAGAAAACTATCACATTTAAAATATGCAAAAATAATATTCATACCTGACGTGAGCATTGAAGGCCTTTGTGCTTTTAAAACTACTATCACAGGAATTGTAAGGACAGATGAGGACCTTGGCATGCGTTTTTGCATGGGTTAACAGAGTGGATTTGAGCCCAAAACTGACGCTACATTTGGAACACTAGAACATGAAAATAGTAACATTAATATCAGGTTGATACTAAAACATAATGATTATTTTTAAAATTAAAAAATACTTGTGGATAAGGTAAGGATACCTAAAAAATGTATGTCTTCAGATCAAGGTTTAGGGCATTATTCTTGTTACCCAGTTGAGCTTTATTCACCAACATAATATTTGATTTTTCCCTACTATTAGGACTTTAAAATTATGTCTGCCTGTTTGAATTTCCTGGGTAAAATTGGACCATATGTCCAAATGGTCTTTATCAAATCTTATTTGTATTTGTTGTATTTAGAAACCTATTGGAGACAAAGTATATCTCTTTATTCTACCCAACCATAAAAAGGATATACCTAGGGAAATAACACTTATATAAAAATTTTATATGTTTACATATTTTTTCCTAATATTTTGTTCAACAATTTGCATATTCCGGTTCTAGGTATTTTTACTATGCCTGTTGTTTGAAAACTATTTTTAAACTCTAGAGGTATGTTAGTTTATTGACTATATTATTATAATGCTTAAGCTTAAGAAAATTACTGTAAAACTTACCTACCCCTGTTGGAAATAATTAAACACATTCAAGTAGCTAGTGAAAAATTTTAATTAAAAAAAATTCTTGAACTTGCCTTAAAAGGTTTTTCTTGAGTATGTATTCGAATATGTCTTATGACATCTGACGGTTTTTTGAATCTCTTGGGACAGTAATTGCAAAAGTACCACCGAACATCGCCCACCTTCATTTGTTTCACCAAGTATCGCCTCAACGACCCGCTGGCATGTGATTCACTTACTTTTACAACACCCAAATCTTCCTTCAATTCGTTATCCTTCAAAATATAATTAATTACTATAGAATATATTATCCAGGAGCTAAATTATTAACCTCATTGTTTTCTTTCACTGTTTCAGAAATACCGGCATTAGGTGAACATCTTTGAGACTCAAGTACTTTCAAATTGTTCATCACTTGAGTGAGGATGTCATCTTCGGCGTTATATTCATTTGTTACTTGATTCACATGGACCTTGGTAACATGTCCATTCAGTGTTGCTATTTTTTTGAAGATGCAAGTACATTGGGAACATTTGTACATTTTTTGGTTATTTTTTGGAGCAGTGTGAGTCTTTTCAATATGGGCCCTTAAGTTTCCTGAACATGTATATAGCATGTATATATGCAACACATTAGTGCGAAAAAATGCTGCATTAAATGTGAAGAAACTTACCTTTTTGATAAAATTTTGCTGTACAAAGTGTACACGAAAATTGTTTAACTCCAGTATGGTGTCTCATGTGGATTTGTAAGGTGCCTTTTTGGGAAAATCCCTTACTGCAAAATGGGCACTGGAAATAGTCCAAACAAAATAGGGTTTTCACAATAATAAATATTATAGAAAAAAAAAAAATTAGAAAAATTAACAAGTATAAAAAAATATATATCAATAAGAAGGGACCTGCTCCAACATTAAGATTTATGGAGACTTGTAGGAAATATTCAACCTCTACTAGTTTCAGTGTGAACAGATTATTTGGGCAGCCCAAACATAAGAATTACATACAAGCATCTTAAAACATTTGTAAGTTGTCATGACAGTTTTAAAAATTTAAATATTTCAGATACTTATTCCTCATGAAGAAAAAAAAAGTGATAGAATCAGTGGAGAAGGGTGCATTTCAGTGTGTGAAAGCAAAATCAGTTTATTCTTTTACTTATTCTAATGTATTTGATCAAAAGATCTACTATTTTCTAAGGGAGTTTAATTTTATTACTTACATTTACAATATGTGTGAACAACAAAAGTAAATATTAATAAATGTTTTAACAGTTTAATTAAACAGAGACTCACCAGAAATGGTTTCTCGCCAGTGTGTATCCTTTCATGCCTAAGCAACAGGCAATTTTTTGCAAATATTTTGCCACACATTTTGCAAGAATAGGGCCCCTTTTTAGAAGACCTTCTTTTTCGACTCTTTTTACCCCTCAAAATATTTCGTCTCACCTCTAAATGTAAAGAAATATGTGTTTTATACTCTGTCAATGTCTTAAACTCCAATTTGCAATATGAACAAACCAAGTCTTTGTCTTTAGACTGTGCCACTTTCTTTCTGGCATGATTCTCCATATGTTTCATAAGTTCCTCCTATAAATACAAATAATGGCAAAAATTTCAGCAAAGTAAAAACTTACATCAGATTCAAATTCAGCATCACATTCTTCACACACCAATAATTCTTCAACTTGATGAATTAAAATATGTGACTTTAAACTAGCCATCCTGTGAAATTTAAGTTTGCAAATGGGACATATGTCTCTGTAAGCGTTGTGTAAGGTGACCATGTGGACTTTCAAATTATTTTCTATATTAAAACCTAGAGCACACTTAAGACAACTGAAAGTTTTTGAAGCTTTGTGACTAGCCATATGGTTTCTGAACGTTGCAAGATTATTAAACATCTGCTTACATATTGAACATCTCATTTTGAATATATTTCCCCCTTCTGGGATTTTCAGATAATATGGATTAGAATACTCCTCGTTTATATCTGTTATCATTTTTGGAGTGTGTTTAATAACACTTTCAATCCCATTATGTCTAAAAATTAAAAGAAATAATTTATTTGTAAAGCAAAATTTGTAAAAAAGATACGGTAAATTGGAAGAACATAAAATGTTGATTTGCTTTTTATCTGAGTCTTCCACTAGGGTCTTATCACTTTGGAATTTATTTCTTTCACATTCTATTAAATTTTCCTAAAAAGCTATAGGTTTAACTTTAGAATACATAAGACAATTTTTCAAATACCTCCTTCGAGTTAGAGACGATAAACTCGACAACACCCTCATCAATTTGTTTAATAATGTAGTTTTGCAAGATGAGAGGTACATCTGGCTGTTCATTCTCCAAAACTACAGGTGCTACAAAGTAGGAGTTATCTAAATTTTCTGGACTCGATTTCTGGAAAGTCTTGTTATTTGATTTAGAATTTCCCTCAAGCATTTTTCTTCCTAGCATTATTGGTTCATGCAGACTGAAATTATTATGGCAAGATCATTATAGATTACAGGACAAAATGTAAATATAAATCAGAGATAGCAAAACGGTAAACCTAGCCAACAACTAACAACTAAACTAAACAACCAATTAGTAAAAATAAAATTATTAATGCCGATGGCCCCTGGGAGTCTCGCCAAGCCAAACGGATGGTGGGTCAGAAGAAGAATTTCATTTCCATGGATAAAAGAGAAAAAAATACTAATTGCGCTCAGGTGGGCATTGGACTAGGATTATATGCCCAGTATCCAGCACCGCGAAAGATTTCCTCATTGTGTTTGATTGATGTAAAAGACTTACAACTTGCTGAGAAGAAAACGAAACGTTAATCAGCAGCACAAGAGAAAACATGAAACCAAACCACCCAGTACATTCAACAAGATTTAAGTATTTATGCACTGGGTTATAATTAAGGTGGGATTCAATTTTCTCTCTGTGGAGATTATGTTGCGTACTACTTCAAGGTATAAGTGTTGCCAGGCCCGTTGTTGAGCGTTCTTAGTAGATTTGACATGTGAAAAGCATAGAAAGAAAGAGTATTCTGTGAAACCTGTTTCTTCAATAGAAATTTGCATTCTAAGTGAATTGATTGAAACTTACTCAATAATTGGAAATTATTTGTTTTACTTTTTTAAATCTAAAGAAGTGAGGGAATCAGCTCTTAAGTTCACTATTTACAAGAAGTCTTTGGCGTACGAAAGCCATAAGCTAAACTAGGTTTAATTAAACTTAGACTTATATTTCAATTTGGGTTAATGTTTAGTTCTAAAATTTTATTTCACACAACTTTGGTCGTCTTTTCCAAATAAACACGAAGGATATGCAGATAAGCTCTTTGTCTTTTCGAGATTTTCCGAAAAATTGAGTATGTCATTACCGTGAAGTGATTTTTTTTTTGCATACGCAGTTAAATTAATAATTGTCTAGTTACCTAATTAAACCCTGTCTTAATGTTCTGAGTTAGGGCCTGATAAGTACATTGTTTAGACAACTAGACCCATGGGGAGCTTTTCTGATTATCCAATTAAGAAAACCGATTATTCGTTGTACGAACGAAAAAACATAATTGCCAGTTCGATGTATGCCACGCCGAAACAAATTGAAACTATTGCAAGCAAGAGTAAGAATGCTGCTGAAGACGTTTATGTTCAGGTGGCTAAACCACAAGTACCTCCAAATGTCGATGGTGTAGATTCGTTAGACCCATTCAGTGTTGGTAATGGAGTACCCGTCTACGAAAATGTTGATCATTATCCTGGCAGAGGTGCCCAACAGTGCTATAACAGGAAGGCTCAGCCACAGGCGCCAATGAATAATAAGCTACAAGACATTGAAGGGCCCCCTGTTTATGAAAATATCAAAAACTATTATCATAAAAGTTTGGGGGCGCAGCCTGGTCCACAAGTTCCTTCATCACACTCCCAGACTATAACAGATCCCCAGTCAATTTACTCAATTATGCAAGCTCCTAGATACCAAAAAATTTCATCCAAAGCTTCACCCCAATCTCCCACAAACTCTAATAGAATTCCGACCACAAATTATGGTCCAGAACTTGATGATATTAACAGTGATTATGTATGTATGGCTGGCAATGTGTCTCATACTTTAAGCACCAACACACAGTTTCAGACTTCAAGTGCTAGAAGCTATGATAGGTAACCGGCTCAATATTCATTTATAGGCTTGCAGGTCTTGTTCTGAGGGTGCTGCTTATTTTATTTTATTTATTTGATTTTACTAAATTATGTTAACTGCAGGATTTAATGTTGGGTTTATATAATTGATAAGAGTGTTGTTCCAGATCTCCTGCAACTGGAATAGCATTGACTCCTACAAAAACTTTTCCACAAAATGAAGTGAAAATTCCCATTCCAGAGCAAAGTGAAAGGATATCAATTTCAGCCCCGAGTCCTACACCAAGTGTTGCCAGCATCAACAGCGGGATGGGCAAGCTGAAAATTAGTGGCAAGAGTTTATTGCCATACAGTGTCACACCACCTAAACCAAGAGGTCCCACTGAAGCTCAAAAGAAAATTGAAGAAATGACAAGACAGATTGAGGAAGAAATGGAGAAACATGAAGAAGAGGGTGAATACTTTGGGATTTGTCACACCTGTGGGGAAAAGGTTTCTGGTGCCGGCCAAGCCTGCCAAGCTATGGGCAATTTATACCACACAAACTGCTTTATTTGTTGCTCCTGCGGCAGAGCTCTGCGCGGAAAAGCGTTTTACAATGTGCATGGTCGCGTATATTGTGAAGAAGACTATCTCTATTCGGGATTTCAGCAAACTGCAGAAAAATGCGCTATTTGCGGTCATTTAATCATGGAGATGATCCTGCAAGCAATGGGTAAATCTTATCATCCCGGGTGTTTCCGTTGCTGCGTTTGTAATGAATGTTTGGATGGGGTACCCTTTACAGTGGATGTCGACAATAAAATATATTGTGTTAATGATTATCACAAAATGTTTGCTCCTAAGTGTTCTTCTTGTGGAAAGGGTATTACACCTGTAGAAGGCACAGAGGAAACTGTTCGAGTAGTGTCCATGGATAAGGACTTCCATGTGGATTGTTATGTATGCGAGGAATGCAATATGCAGCTGACAGATGAGCCTGATAAACGTTGCTATCCTCTGGAAGGTCGACTGTTGTGTCGATCCTGTCATATACAACAACTACAGCACAGACCTCATCATTTGCAGGCCGCCTCAGCATCATACCATTACAGCAACTAAGAGTGACATAATGATTAATTCTTTAGCCAGTACGCATTGCAATATGATGTTCAAGTGCTTATTGCTTGTAGTATGTTGAGAAATCAATAATATTTAAAGGTTAACTGCCATGTTTCATTCCAGTGTTTTTTAAAGAGAATATAATGTGTATTGGACATGACCACTTTGTTTTCATTGTCATTTAGCATAATAAAATGAAGCTAGTCGAGAAAAAAACACCTATCCAAAAGAGACACTTTTGCAGTGAATAAAATGAAATAAAATTTGCTAAATCTAAAATATTTGGTGCTGTTTTTTTTTAAATATTCAATTACATTTATGTTTTGGGTATATTTTTAGAAGCATTATATTATATAGTGGCAGATTGAAGGCACCAAGCTTTCTTACAAAAACTTAAGTTTTTTACAATATTATAGTATTCATTAAAAAATTAGGTTGTTAAAACAGAAAACAAATAATTTTTTAAATTAAATATTGTTTATTGGTTCCTAAAATCCAAATAATAATGGTTTGTGGTTTACCACATTGTTATCCTAGTCTTGTTTTAGCAGTGTTATCTTGTCTGCTTTTATCTTTTGGTCAATAAAATGAAATAACTTGAAAAAATATATTTATTTAATAGAAAACTTGTGAAAAACATCCCTATATTCTGAGATAACTCTTAATAATTTAATATTTATTTGTATTCTTGTTCTTTTGTTGCAATGTTTACAAACAGGACAACCTAAACTTCCACAGAAAAAGATTCATAGTAATATTCAAATTAAAAAATATAATTGTTTTAAGCACTTTCCAAGAAAAAATTACAAGCTAATAGTAATCTACACACTCTAATCTTTGATGAAACAACTTTCTGAGTCACTATTACAGCCTTCATATTGTTTAACACTGCCCAACTTTTCATTTTCCTTACTTATACAGGCACACCTGTAGGTTTTAGAGCCTGGTTCAAAATACTGCCTTGGTTTTCCCACCCAGGCCCTTTCAATCCCCCCACTGGAATAAGGATAAACATGCAATAAAAATGAGGTTCTGGGGAGAACCAACCAGAATTATACCTTTTATTTGTACACCACACTCTACTTCCTTTTTCTGGATCCCATTCTACATTACAGGGTGGAAATTTGACTTTGTTTAATTGGTTATTATTATCAGCAATTTCTGACTCTCTGATTAACCTTCTAACTTGTCTAGCATAATGCGTTAATTTTCCATTTTCATCATAATATCTACCTATGAGTTTACCTATAAGCAAATTGTTATGGTCTGTGAGAAATATGCTTGATTTTTACCTATTTTTGGGTACTCTTTCTGATAAAATTCAAACCAATTATTTAACAATTTTAGATCTTTTTGACTCAAGCTCAAGACATCGTCAGTTGCGTCCGCTTTAGAAAACTTCCCAGTCACAAAACTTTTAGATGCATCTCGACCTGCAGATAATCAATTTATTTTTCAAAAAGAATCACAGTTGCAAACCTACCAACGAATATATGATAAGATTGACCGACGCCATAATGCTTGTCGCCTTTAGTCACGTTAAATATATTTCCAAGGATTGATAAGTAGAGGAATGGGGTGTTCACCCCATTGTAAAAGCTAAGTTCTTTAGCTGTAAACAAATGTTTTCCTTTTAAATACTGTAATTGAAACAGGGCAAAGATATTATTAGTAAGATCATTGAAATACACAGCTAATAGGACTGCCAATAATGCGAATATAAATAATAGTTTAAACATTTTCTAGACATTATTAATGTATACTAACATATACTAAAAATACAACACAACCTATGTCATAATTTTGATTGCGTTCACTGGGAAAATTTGCCATTTAAACCCGACCAAAGTGGAAAACGGAACAAATTGTTAGTTTAACTTTCGTTTTCATTCATTTAAAAGCTGAGTGCATTAAATAACAAAACTAAATATGATTTTTTTTTAATTTTCTTAGAGCAAAGGCGTAATAAGTGTAATAAAATATATTGAACGTATTATGGCCGAATGGTTAACATCAAGGAAGAAGCAGAAACATGCAAACGTGTCAGATAGTGTCAATAAAAGCAACTTATGATTCCAATTTTAATTCAATATTCCCCACTCAAAGATGATAACAGTTTGCTCACCTTGAAAAACCATTTAAATAAAATTGTTTTAAGATTTTGAGACAGTTTTTCATCGTACGTTCTATCGGTGCATCCATATTAATATAAACATACTCCAGCACTCAGTGTTAGAGCTTTTGTTCTAGTCTTTTCAAAAAATAGTACAATGAGTAAAATTAAGGCGGGACCCGTTGTGGATATTCTAGGCGATGAAATGACCCGTATTATATGGGATTCCATTAAGCAAAAACTCATCTTGCCCTATTTGGATATTGATTTAAAAATTTACGATCTGGGAATTGAAAACAGAGACAAAACAAATGATCAGGTAACTGTTGACTGTGCAGAAGCTGTTAAAAAATATAACGTAGGCATTAAATGCGCCACAATAACTCCAGATGAAAAACGAGTTGAAGAATTCAAGCTGAAGCAAATGTGGAAGTCTCCCAACGGTACTATTAGAAATATTTTGGGTGGAACTGTTTTTCGGGAGGCCATAATTTGTAAAAACATCCCAAGATTAGTAACAGGATGGGAAAAACCTATTATTATTGGAAGGCATGCTCATGCAGATCAATACAAAGCAACAGATTTTGTTGTTCCTGGTGCTGGACAATTAGAATTGGTATTTAGTGGTTCAGATGGCCAGCAGATTAAACACACGGTCCACCAATACCAGGGTCCTGGGGTAGCATTAGGTAGGTAGATTTTTGACTGCATGTACATATGGAAGTTACCATTTAAAGTTAGTTTACAATATGGATGATAAAATTATGAGATAATGGAAATGAATTTAAATAACAAATTCATAACTAAAAGCTTGCTTTCAAGTTAATTTGTTATATCATCATTGAAACTTATTGTTGAAAATCCCCTTTAAAAAAAGGCAAAATCATTGTAAATACTTGATATGATAATATAGATAAATGTGGCAATGTGGTTACAATATAACCTTGTTACTTTGAACTTTGAAACTTTGTAGGAGATGCCGAACTGGTTGTTAATTTATCATGAGTCTTTAGTTAACAAATTCAAATTCACTTTCTGCTAAAGCATACTTTGTTTCCTTATAAATTGAAAAGAAGGAAGCTGTTAAATTACTATTTTTTAATTTGGTTATTTAATGCCCACGATTTTTAGGAGCCAAAAATATTCAGAATTCAAAATATGTATAGGAATTGATCATGGCATTATGATACATTAAGTTCTACTAAAAGGTTAATCAGATTTTTGTTCGTATAGCTCCCTAAAATTTATAAAACAAAACATTTTTCTTGGAGCACATTTATTTTTGGTGCTTAAAATGGGTTTTCTGTTTTTGGATGAGTAGCATACTTGGCATTTTCAGGCATGTTCAATACTGATGAATCAATTATTGCTTTCGCCCACTCTTCATTCCAATACGCGCTCGATAGAGAATTGCCACTGTATCTAAGCACTAAAAATACTATTTTGAAACGATATGATGGTCGTTTTAAGGATATCTTTCAAGATATCTATGACAGGGAGTACAAACCTCGATTTGAGGCCAAGAAAATCTGGTACGAGCATCGTCTTATTGATGATATGGTGGCTTATGCCATGAAATCAGAGGGGGGTTTCGTATGGGCTTGCAAGAATTATGATGGGGATGTTCAGGTATGGTTTTCTCCAAAATATAAAGAAAGTTATAGTTTAATAATCTATTTTTTTCAGAGCGATTCTGTGGCGCAGGGCTATGGCTCCTTGGGTTTAATGACCTCTGTGTTGGTCTGCCCAGATGGCAAAACTGTGGAAGCTGAAGCGGCTCATGGCACTGTCACTCGTCATTATCGGATGTACCAAAAGGGCCAGGAGACCTCCACCAACCCAATTGCATCCATTTTTGCATGGACCAGAGGATTACTACATCGCGCCAAGCTGGATAACAACAGAGAATTAGAGAATTTTGCTAATATATTGGAAGCGGTTTGCATTGAAACCATAGAATCTGGTTTTATGACTAAAGATTTGGCTATATGCATCAAAGGTATGAGCAAAGTGCAGAGGTCTGATTACCTGGAGACATTTGAGTTTATGGACAAGTTGGCGGACAATTTAAAAAAGAAGTTACAGTCTTCTTGACTTTCCAAGCTCTAGTGACATGACGGGCCTCATTCATTCTTTGATTACATTTTAGGTATTCAAGTGTATTGCAATTTCTTTGACTGAACTCTTTTTTGTTGAATATTATTGGTGAAAGGATATGTATGTATTTTAATATTAAAATGTATTTTGCACCAACAGTAATATATGTCATTTTGAAAAAATATTTATCTTACTTAATGTGGGAGAGTTGATTATGTTCATAGTTACAACAGAAAGGGATTACGAAATATTCGATTTAAAGTATCATTTTTGAATTTCAGTGTTAATTGCAGTTAAGATTAATTTTTGTTTATTTATAGATTGCGTTTTTTAGAGTAAAAATTTCTTAAAAATTTTAAATTGCATAGTTTATTTTGTGGCAGCTGAGTCGTATCAGCAGGACCAACCAGAAATATTGTTAAACTTTTTAATAGGCTTAATATCGGTATTATAACTGTTTTTAATGTTATCAGTTTTGTCTATTTTTGTTTAATATATTCCAGTCATTTTTCATTCGAGCCAAAAACATTGGTTTGTCAACTTATTGAAAGTTGTTGAAGAGATTTAAATAATGCGGAGAAGATTCAATAGGGATAATGAACCAATTGGAGCTGAAAATTTTAAATATATTGGTACCTTTAAAAATGAAATTAAAACTCTAAGCACGAAATGTTGCCTTAATATTATCAAAGTAACATGATATTTTTGTCCAACACGTAGTGAAAACCAACCCAACTAAGTTGTGGATCAAATGAGACCCCAAAGTAAAAATGTTTAAATGTTCATCTGTTATACTTTGGCTTTAAAGACCCCAAAGTAAAAATGTTTAAATGTTCATCTGTTAGACTTTGGCTTTAAAATTTAAACAGTAATGAAAATACTTCAGCATGTTGAATGAGCATGAGTCATTGGGGCTCCCCTTTTGTGAATAATCCTGTTAAGGAATCAAGTAATTGCAATTTGCGTAGAAGTAGAAGACCATTGTCATATCTTATTTAAATGGAGAAATTCTCTTTCTCTTCATGAAAGATTCAGTTCTGCAAAATTTCCAGCTCCTTTATCAATATTATTCAGTTTCTTACATCCTGGAACTTAAGGTTGTAGTGTTTTGTTATTTTCTGATATTCTTGCAAATGAGTAATTATGTTACAATTTATTTGGATAGTCGTATGCTGGAGGACAATTAATGTTTCCAGTTACTTTTAACATACTTCTGTTTCAATACAAGTATAAAATATTGAAACCGAGGGTCCCAAAGCTCCTGAACTTAATGGAACATGTCCATGTAGTGGATCCAGCTCCATCTGCCATGTAGGGTACATGTTTTCCAAGCTCAGGTAGTGCTTTTGCTTCTAAAAGGCTTATATTTTTTCTATCCTCCAAGTTCAATCTTTGGGCAAAAATAAAATTCTAATTTGTATCCACAAGAACTAACACAACAAAATCAAGAATTGTAATTGTAATTGTAATATTCTGTCATGTAGGGCACATGTTTTTCAAGCTCAGGGAGTACTTTTGCTTCTGAAAGGCATAATACTCATATTTTTTCTATCCTTCAGGTTCAACCTTTGGGCAAAAATAAAATTCTAATTTGCATCCACAAGAACTAACATGACAAAATCAAAAATTGTAATTGTAATTGTAATATTCTGTCATGTAAGGCAAATGTTTTTCAAGCTCAGGGAGTACTTTTGCTTCTGAAAGGCATAATACTCATATTTTTTCTATCCTTCAGGTTCAACCTTTGGGCAAAAATAAAATTCTAATTTGCATCCACAAGAACTAACAGGACAATATCAAAAATTGATTTGTAATTGTAATATTCGTTATTATTTATAATAAGCCTTTTGCATATACATTTTCCTTTTCAAGTGGGCATCTGAAAATAAAAGCCAAATAATAATAGTCAAATAATAATTAGTTACTCCACATCTCATATTGTTTTAATAGATATTTTCAATGAAATTAAAAAACAAACAAAAAATTAACCAGCTAAAAAGTATTTAAAAAACACTTTAAAAATATTTAAAGAAATTCAAATTGGGGCCTTAGAATAATTTAACAGATTTAATCATATATAAAAAAAAATTCATATATAAGAGGCATTTTTAGGATTTCAAAATAGCTTTTGGCACTAACCTTAAAAGCTCTGAGCATTATCACTGTAACTACGAATACCGCCACTGCCATTGTAATTGCCAGATAATATGCTGGATATTACTGAACTGGATAAACTACTCATATCAGAAGACATGTTTGGATAATCAATTTGTTGCCGTAATTGTGAGGTTTTCCAGATATTTTCCGGGTTGTTATCTAATGAATCGCATGGCGTCGATGGGCCCGAATCTATTTGAATTGCAACATTTGAGGGTGGAGTACTCGTATTAGTACCATCTTCCATGTCAAGCACTGCCAACAGCTTCCTTTCACTCCGGACATATTCTATAAAGGTTTTGATTTTATTTAAAAGGAACAGCGGCACTTCAAATCCTTGTAATTCTTGCAGTTGCAAGTTGGGACTGTGTTTGTATTCTTCGCTATCAGTTAGCTCTTTAATATCCTCGAGAAGCATTAGATAAGCTTTTCCACCACTGGGGGGCATAAGATTTTGTGATGCCAGCCATTCTTTGTCTTCCTGGTCACCCGAGTAACGCACAAGGTTGGGATGCCTAACATAGAGTCTTCCCCTTGTCTGACCATATCCTACAAATACACTCTAAAGTATTTGTCCCTCTTCTTCAAGTAAAACATAAAAATAAAATAATATTAAATGCATGAAAAATAAAATGATTGCAACCAAATAATGTATGCAAAGGTGGAGTGCACTCCAAGCATATTTTAATAACACAAATTTAAATACTCTCGATCACAACCACAAAATAACATCACATAAACAGGTACAAAAATGGCTCATGAATTCCAGATTTCACTAGAGAATCAATAATCCATTGGACACAAAAGTCTTTTGATGACTTTTAAATATAGGCATACTAAAATCTTTACAGGAAGGAGGTACTGAGTAAAAAACATTTACCTAATACTTTATTGGCTCTGGCACCCATTATAAACATAGTACTGGTTTTTATTCTTTCAGGATTCCACTTTGGGCCATCCCTCTTAAGAGAAAGCTTGCAACCAATGTAATCACTCCCTGTTGTCATTCTGTTACGGTGCCTTTTAAAAACTGGTGTTGGGTTTGATGATAAATCAGAATCATCAGAATCCTTACGTTTTGATGGGTGAAGAGAATTCTAACAATTACAAATCTTTAAAATGCCTTTGCTCCAAAATGGTGCATAGACTTACAACTTTTTCCATATTTGGATATCTTGAATCACTGACACTATTTTCTGATTCTGCCTCACTCTGACTACATTCATATGGAGAACTGTCTCTAGAGTCTTCACAATACTTGTACATTGATTTGGCTTCTTCAAGCATTTGTTTGCACACTTCTCTGATGTTATCTTCATTAACACTGTCTTGACCAAGATTGTTTTTAATGTTGTTTATTGCAGGTTGAAAGAATTTCTAAAAGCCCATTTTACAAGAAGTTTTGCTCCACACATTCATACAATTTTCAAAACACACTCACATCTATGTACTTTTTCAATACATTGTCGATATCCTTGTTAATGGAACTCTGCAAGTTTTTTCTTAGCAAGTCTAATGATTTTGTAGGACTTGTAACACTGTAAGCTCGCCTGTGGTTTGGAATATTTAACTTTGTTCCATTTTTTATGGTCAACTGAGTAGTAGCCAAATTAATCAAACTAACTTGGCGCATGTTAAATGTATTTTTCTATCAAGAAATTTACGATAATTATTAAAATTAGTCCAAAGTAGGCATCTTACCCATCCAACCATGTTATGTTTTTCATCAGATTGTCCCGGAGTTACTGGCGGAATCATTTTCGGTAAACTACCTAATTGGTCTCTTGAAATATTAAATAGTCTTTCCTAATATTCTCGACATTTACATATATTTTTTATTAATACTTTCTCTACCAATACATTTCAAATACCAGAAAAATTACAGAATTACCTATTTCTGTTATAAACCCGAAAAACAAATATTTTTTTAGAAAACCTAAAGGATCTGTAAAATATCTGTTTGAAGCACAGATACAGTTTTTCTCTTATACCATACTTGGAATGTTCAAAGTTCAAGTATGCGTTTCACAAAAAAAATGTTGGGCTCGACTGCTAGGATCATTCGCCCATTGCCGACTTCCGTCGAGGATCTTCGCTTTTGGTCATTGACCAACACGTACAAAGAAGACATATAACCAATATTTGCTCAACTAGCAAAAAAACAAATTTGACCGATACCAAAAAAAAACCGACACCCCCCGCTTCCACCGCGGACCATCCGGGCCCATCCGGCCTCCATACCGGCGTGAACGGGGAAAAACGACGGGGCCGACGACGATTATAACTTTAAAACATGCACTGAACACTAACAACACTAAGTCCACACAGTGGAAACCGATATCAAACTTTTGAGGACGAATACAAGGGATTCTGTCGGGAGCGAACGGAGGTTAAACCGCCGCGTGCAATGCTCCACCACAGAATCTACTTGGAATGTACAAGAACAAGTACAATAATGCGTTTCACAATAACTATTGGGCTCAACTGCTAGGATCATTTGCCCATTGCCGAATTCCGTCGAGGATCTTCGCTTTTGGTGATAGACCAACACGTACAAAAAAGAAATATAACCAATATTTGCTCAACTAGTAAAAAACAATTTAGACCGGTACAAAAAAAAACCGACATACCTCGCTTCCACCAGCGAACCATCCGGGCCCATCCTGCCTCCATACCGGCGTGAACGGGGAAAACGATGGGGTCGGCGACAATTATTACTTTAAAACATTCACTAAACACTAAATCCACCCAGTGGAGATCGATTTAAAAATTTTTGGGGACGATTACAAGGGATTCTGAAGGGAGCGAACGGAGATTAAATCGCTGCGTGCAATGCTCCACCACAGAATCCACCTGGAATGTAAAACTTTTCTTCTTTTTCAGGAATGACCTAAACACAGCCAGAAAAATATGTCCATGGGGAAAACTAATTAGTTTTTTCAATTAATAATTTTTCTGGTCTCTACATTAAAATACCCAATTATTCACTGATTAGACACGGGAAAAGTGTTTCTTTAAAACGTCAGCTTTATTAAATAGTATTTAATAAATACTGGCGACATACCGCTGCAGGCTAGTCTGGAATCATATAGTTATTAACCGGCCTATACACATGCAGGCAAGTGTTAAGACTTGCCTGTACAGGTCGAGACACGCGAGTAAGTGCGTTCAGTTCCAATCGCGGCTCCAAGCGAATTAGATTGTACTCTGATTTTTAGAGCAAGTGCGAAAGCCAACTTCATTTTTCGCACAGCAGTAGGTCCCACCAGCTGGTGAACTTCGAGGTTTACCTGAATAGTATGTGACCGCAATTCGTTTCGCACTTGCTCGTGGACTTACCTGGATACGATTGCACGATAAGTTTGCACGACTCCGATAAACGGAACATTTTAGAATAAAAATAATATACGGAGTGACCACGAAACTAACGTCCACAGCGGCATTTTAAAATGATTTGGGATAAAAATATGCAATTTGGTAAGTTAATAGTTTTGAATATTGGGAACGTTTTGTACCATAAAAACAACACAAAACCACTTTGTTATTTTAAATGGAACATTCTATATATTCTTAATTTTTAGAACTCGCTAAACAAGTCTAAACAACTTTTGTCTATTAGACTTCATCTCTAAAACCAATAGCTTTTTAAATGAAGTCGTTCAAAAATATGCTACAAGGAGCAAGTAACCATAATATTTTTTGTTGTGGTCTATTTCGTTTTGCCATGAAATAAAAAAAAATGTTGCATAGTTTTGAACTGCTTTATTTCAAAAAGGTATTGATTTTGTGACATAACGTGTGTTAGAAAAAGGTTGTTTAGAATTGTTTATCGAGTAAAAAAAATAAAAATATACATGGCATTCAATTTAAAATAAGAAAGTAGAAATTATTTCCGGTCAAACCTGAAAAGCAATTTCTGCGATTATTTTCTGTTTATTTGCAATAATTTTAAAATTATTTTTTGTAAACTTTTGCTTTTTTACTTATTTATTGCAAAAAATTGTAAATAATTTATATTATTTATTAGGTGCACCATTTTTCTATATGCTTTTTTTTTAATTCATTTCCCAAGCCAGACCAAAGAATTAAATCGTCTACTTTGTAGGTTTTTGCAACTTCCTATAGTATTAAAATTTGAAATTGTCTAAATCTAACTGTGTAATTTATTTACTCCTGGTTTATCCTGACTTTTGCAATATCTGATTTTTGTCTCCTGATTATCATTGCAGTAATATGATCCGAGTTGGATAAAACCTAACATTAGCTTCTGAGGCGTAATACCTGTGGTGAAGAAACTGAATACCATTTCGTCAGATACATTCTCCTTAATCGCGCTTTTTAATGTCTGGTTGTATCTTTCAACCTTGATATGCCATATGCAACAGCTGGTTTATCGACTGGAATAAGGAAACCTTCCGTTTTCTCATATTGTCGTCTTCTATAAGCGTAGTCTATAAACATACTTACTTTCCTATAAAGTGTTCTATAGTGTTTTTCGGAAAATTTTAATTTTTGACAGATTAAATTTAAAGCAAGATCTTTTAGTTGATTGCTCATCCAATCGTAAGTCCGGATCAGGTACTATACCTCAGCTACGTTACGACTGAGTGCGTCCACATTGTATTATCAGCAAATTTTTAAAAACCACCGTGCTATATCAGGTAATAAATTCTCTTTGAATAATCTGTTACGTTCCGATTAAGTAAATGTGAAATCTTCGGATTGATTGAATACAGCGGCGAGCAAGCAGCGCGACATCGTTCCGAGTAAGCCTCGAGACGCCGAAAGATAGTAGAGCGGCGAGGAATAGCCGAGTACCTGCTTAATATATTATCTTCATTTGGTTATTGTGAAGTTAAAATGTCATCAGCGATAAGACTTCTAGGCAGTAGGGCCGCTAAAATTTGGTATCTTCGTAATCAACAAAGAACAAGAAATTGTGGCGTACATGAAATTTTTAAAAATCGAAGAGAGTGTGGAGAATTTCATACTCTTTACGAAAAGTTGCGGCAACACCCTACAAGATTCTACGGATATGTCAGAATAAAAGTAGCCACTTTTGATTATATTTTAAGCCTGATAAATGATCACTTAATAGAGAACTGGATCAATTTCAATCGCACTCCTATAGGACCCGCCGAGCGTTTAATAATAACACTGAGGTAAGTTTCAAATTTAATTACTTACACAAATTATAAATAAGATATTCATTCTAAACTGCGATCTAACTCTTGAGTACAAACTAAATACAAAATAAATGAAGCGGTTATTCTAGGGAAGTCCAAAACTATCATAATAATGAGTACAAGTCATGTTTCCAGATAAATCACAATATGATAAATCTGCTTGTCTTTGCGATAATGCTAGCTCTGGTTGCTTTGGTTACGCGATGTATCTGGTGTAGGAACTGGAACATTTGGTGTCCGAATATCTTCTGAATAAACAAAATTAAAAACTAATGATTTTATTTGCATCTGTAGCAAATTTTTATTTCTTGGGGAACGTTTTTTGACATACAAACTATTGAAAAAGACTACGTCTTCATGGTTAATTTCCTCGAATTTTGTCAATTTCCTTTTTTCGATGTCCAACAACTGATGCCCGAAGTGATCATTAATTTGTCTTTTATTTGGTCGATCACGACACTTCGAGATTCTCGACGATGATGGGATTTGTGGGAGAAAATGGTTCACACGTGACTGATATGTTATTTTCTGATGGTTGCTCTGGTTGAGATGCCTCATCATCATATTCATCTTTACTTTGGGACCAATTGCCAGTGGAAGGGCATGCAGTAAACTGATAACTTAAAATAAAAGTTGTTCAAAAAATGGCCATGAAGATTTCAGTTTCTTCCCTCCAGGATCGCCAGATCGGCGAGGATTTTCTTGCAATTCTCGAACAAGAGTATCACGAATATTTTTCCTTACTCGGTCGCCTAAAAGGTGAAAAGGGCGCCAAAAATAGTAACTTTTTGAACAATCGTAGGAAAAGAGTTTTCATGACATATTTTATTTTCACAACATGTGGAAGAATATCGGAAGAAAACAAACATTATATAGGAATGTTTCTATTTCAATCCGTCATTCTGTAACTTTAATGACTATTTTTTTTTAGGTTTCTAGCCACTGGATCGTCATTTAAGTGCTTGTCATTTACTTTTCGGGTAAGGAAAACAATAACAGTTCTGTGGCAAACGCTACAGCCAATTCATATGCGTAACACAGAATGATGGTGGAACATTATCTAATATAGGAGCTCAAAGCACAAATAATAGGAGTACAAATATTGCGTCTGATATTAGAGAGACTTTCAAAAATTATTTATGTAATAATAGAATTGAAAAGTGTGCAACTGTTAAATAAAAGATACTTACTTGTCGTTTCCATTTCCTTTGCCACTTCATCCCATAATTTATCTAAAATGTGCCGGTTATGGTGATTTTTATCTTTTTGATCCCATAAACCCTCTCTCACAAAGACTAAATCTATTAATTTTTGACAATCCATGGTTTGTCTACAATGCGACAGAGCGACGAAAACAAATTATTTGTCGCTTGAGCAGATCACTCTACTATCTGCACACCCACCCGTCTCCACAGGTTTGTTTCGGATTCGAGGTCGCGCTGCTTGCTCGCCGTTATCCTCGTCGCGCCACTATGTTCTTGGCTTAATGTTTCTAGCTCATATAAGCTCACGAGTGTACTAAAATATATAATCAGTTTAAAGATGTCTTTGTGTGCTCATCGAGGAATCGGCATCGTTTGAAGTTCCTTTTCCGAACTTGGATCATAAACAGCAATAGCAGAGTTCTTATTAGCTATAAATGTAATGTATAAATGAAAAACGTAACATGTGACGTGACCATCAGAACTGATGTCAAAATACCATCAGTGTTATAAATCTACCGAAAACATTTGATCGTTTCCAATCTGTGACTAAAGTAGCCGAACCGCTTCAATTGACTCGCGATAGTGTTT